CCTAGATCTGACGGTGAAATGTTTTCACTCTGGATGTCTATGGACAGGAGAGTTACGTGAAGTTGAGGTAAAACGCGAATGGCAAACTGAACACTTTTGAACTGTGTTCCATTATTCTTAATTACGTTATTAGACAATCTGATTATTTCCATTCTTGCTAACTCTTTTCCCGCCAAACGATTGACTCGGTGAAACAAAATCGGAGGCAATCAAACTGATATGTTGGATGGCCGAGTCACCATTTCATGTGTTGTATGTATTGTATTAACATTGTAATGTCTTTCACTAAAAATCTCTCCTATCAGAGACCGCTGATAGATCTTAGTTTTGAAAATAGAAAGGGGAGCTCGCTGACTATTTTAATTCCTAGGCAACCTGTGTTTGTTATACAAGCTTTTCATGGCCCCCTTTCGTGTAGTGAACCCAAGAAAAAAAGTTACCGTTCCGAGTATTCAAATTGCCTCAATAATTTGTTCATCTAGAAACCTCATCAGTTACTTGCTTTTTTCACTTTTCTACCCATTTCATGACTTTGACTTGTATACTATTAATATATGAGTTCCAACAACCTGCAGGAACATCAATCAAACTGCCTGTTAAAAGTGGTACAGTGTCCAAACTCAAGATGTACAGAGAAAGTCACTAGGCAGGACATGGGGAACCACATGGCATCTGAATGTTCTTGGAGGATAATATATTGTGGATATTGTCAAAAATTAATTGTCTTTAATCAACAAAAGGTATGCAGATATCATGCATCATTTGAATGAAAGGGAAGTTTACTCCATGGGTTGGCTATTTTTTTCTGTCCTTGAAAAATTCTCTCGAAATTATTTCCATGACTTCTTATAAATTTAACCGTTTCTTTGTACCTGTACTGAGTGATTAGCTTACACAGTAAAATATGCAGTAGTGTTCTAAAGTCATTTTTTATTATTTTCAGTGTTAGAAATGTACGGTGGCCCAAAAGGCTCAAACATGAACTAAAAAGAAAACGCAACTACCAAAAATAAAACTCAACTAATAAGAAGAAAATACAACCAGCAAAGGTGAAACGCAACGAAAAACAAAAAAAAGCCAAGTAAAAGTAGAAACCGCAAATAATATTAAGAGAAACATGCAGACGCTGGGTTCTAGTTAGTAATAGTCTGAGGTGATGGGGGCTTGGCAAGAATGGATCCACATTTTGAGATGAAGTTTACATTATTACCAACTGCCTTTTCTCCGCACTCGCTACAGACATGGCGGGTAGTCGGAGAGACCGAACGACTGGAAAATTGGCGCTAAAATACTAGATCCCAGCCCCTGCATGTTTCTCCTATTATTTGCGTTTTTTTTATTTGCGCCTTCTCTTTTAGTTGCATTTTCTTTTTTGTTTGTGTTTGAGCCTTCTGGGCCATCGTGGAAATGTAAGGGTACATTCAAACATTTTATCTGGTGTTTTACAGAAACATTTCGATATCTGCCAAAAGTTCCCAGTTCGTTGTACCAACAAGTGTGGCTTAGAAGAGATTCCACGAGGAAAGGTCTGTTTTAACAGAAACCACTCATCAAGTTTTGGAAAAGGACACTTTCATTTACTTGACACAAACGTTTACTAGGATTTTGCACAATCGTCAAGTAATTTTTGAGAGATCACGTCATCTCTTACGTAACTCAGCAACTTGAACAGAGTCATAGTAAGCTTTTTTGACAATAAGCTTCATATGGCATAGAGAATCTGCTTGAAAAACGGTTAGATATTCTTTTGCTAAAATAGACGTTGGGTCTGTATTAATGCGAGATTAAAAGGAGGCCGGCTGGTTATCTTTGGCATTACATAGGAACACCGTAATCAGTCTCTTATTTATGCCTTTGTTTATAGCTGGAATTTCATATTGGCGAGGATTGTCCTGCAACTGAGGTTTATTGCGAATTCAAGAAATTGGGATGCGACGTTAAGGTATAGGCTTTCTTAAAACAATTACGTTAATATAGAGACCCTTACGACACTTGGCACAGGTGATTTGGCTGTTTAAAGTTTCGTTGCTTATCGTAAAATGTGTCGCCTTTCACGGAATTTATTAGGTAGTTAGAGGAAAACTTTTAAGGTGGAGAAAATTCACCTAAACTTTCGCTTTGTTATGAAGGTAAGAAAAATTATGATGCAGGCACAGCTTTTGAACGGAACTGTATGGCCAATTTGATTGGTTTTCACTAGAGATTTGGGAAGGCAATTGAATAGCTAGTCAGACGAATAACTAGAAATGCAGGGATCAGTTGTGCAATTGATATTATGCCAGCTCTCCGTAAAGTTCTGAGTTTAATACGAGTTGTTACAACTGTTGTCCTTAATGCCGCATTTCTTCTCATTCACACAGTTCCCAAGATCAAACACCAAAGCTCATTTGGAGACACACATTGAACAACACTTGAACTTGGCCCTTCGCAGCCTTGAGACCACTCAGCGTCAGGTTAAGGATCAGTCACAGCAGATTGAACAACTGATGGCCAAAGATAAAGATTTGTCACAGCAGATTGAACGACTGACTGCTCAGGTCAAAGTTCAAGATCAACATATTAAGCTCCTGAATAGTCCTCCATTTGTGTGGAAAATTTCAAATTTCCAGGCTGCTTATGAGAAAGCATTGAGTGGAAAGGAAAACATTTTAACAAGTACATTTTATCTTTCTTCAAACGGGTACAGACTGAGAATCCAAATTTTCTCTAATGCCTATAGGATGAGGTGGTTCCCAGACGATTTTTTGTCTAGTACAACATACTTTTCTTTCTATATTTGTGTTATTCCAGGAGAATTTGATCCGCTATTATCCTGGCCATTCAAGGAAAAGTTGCGAGTAACGTTGATCAATCAAAACCCGTGCGAGGATAAGGAGAAAGATATATGGCGCGTAACTGACTTTGGAAGGGTAGATTTGCCCATAATGAGGCCTCTTACTGAAGATAACCAAAGTTGCCATGGCGTGCTTGGCCCCATTCGTGCCGACACGTTACAATCTGCATCTTTCACACTGAACGATACAATTTTCATAATGGTGAAAAAAGAGTAGTATCATGTACTGGAACTGACTAAGCAAACTCTTAAGGTTTTTTTTTGGCGATTCCCTTGTAAAGCATTACCCATCCTCACTGAAGATATAGTTGCCACTCATTAGTTGTGCTCAAATTATCAAAACAGCAGATTTTACCTTAACTAGAGCTGACCGGCAAGGCAAATCGTTATTTCCTCTTTTCCGAGCTCGTTTACTTCCCTTTATGAGTTATTTAAAATGATGATAATTATTAAATATACTACGTCGTCCAAAGCTGTGTTTCTCACACCAATCGGATTTAGTGGAGTATGTTGCACGCCCTTATCTGATTGCACAGAATGCATTCCTTGCAGTAATGAGTTTTGCTAGAGTATGCTGTTCGCACCAATCAGATTGTGTCAGGTATGATGCTTGCACTTGGCAGATTTGCTAAGGTATGTTACTGGCACCAAACAGATTGCGCCGGGTATGTTGCTCACACCAATGAGATTGTGCTGGGTATGTTGCGTGAACCAAAGAGATTGCCCCGGGTATATTACTTGCACCAGATTGTGCTAGGCATATTTCCCGCACCAATCAGATTGAGTCAGGTTTAACGCTCGCACCAATCAGATTGTGCTGGGTATGTTGCTCGCACCAATCTGATTGCATTGGGTATGTTTCTTGCACCAGACAGATTCGTCATTGAACATATGTTGTTGGCACTAATCAAGTTACCATAGTACTTTCTGCATCGACTGCGATATTGAATACCGTTTCTTTCAATTGGAAGTTGCATGATGTACTTCTTTCACCTAGACAGGTTTTTCCCATTCCAGGTACTTATTCTCTCGTCTCTATTTTTATTGGCGTTACCTTTTACATGACTTCTTCAGTATAAAACTGAAAACTTAACGAAATAATCCTACCCCACTTAAAATGTTACCATGGATTAAAATGTTAACATGGATACTGTTTGTCAATTTTCCACGCAGTCCTCACCTACTTTAACTTTTTCTACCAATCAAATTTTCTTTTAGGTACCTTACACTTTGCCCCATCATGTGACTATTTCTTGTAAAGAGCCTGTATCTTGTCACGCACTTAACACGCAGAGGGCAAAGTCCAGATGAGAAGCATGCAATCAAAAAGCTCGCGTAGTTATGCAATCGTGAGAGCCTATGAAATAAGATCCTTCTCTCTTCTCTCCATGTCTTTTCAGTAACGCGGAGATCGCAACGAAACTCTGACAAATGTTTAAAGGGGATGAAATACAATTTGGGTTCGCTGTTACCAGCAAAATTATAAGCAGTATTTATGTAGCAAACAACTGCATGTAACGATGTGTTTTTATGATGACACTGGTAAAGGAACGGCAGTTAGTGAAGCACCAATGCAAGTTATTTTCAGATAGTAACTCAGATAACAGAGACGATAGGCCACAAACTAACTTTCTCCGAGCTTATTTCAGATTAATTGAAGGTTTTCTACTTTCTGTTGAAATAAAGTATCGAGTATTTTTCATTAGAATCTTTGGTAAGCATCAGTTACACAGGGACATCCCATCCCAACCCACCCATCCCCAGACTTAACTTTTGCATGCATGCAAATTCCCTACTGCTGCACGAGAAATTTATCACAAGACGAAAAAAAATTGGAGAAAAGAAGTTTTCTTTAAATGAATGACGCCATAGAACTTTACATTTGGAGCCAGGGAAGTGTTTAAAGAACGAAGAAGAGTTACTGCTGGCGTGCGGTGATTGGAAATCAGCGAATGGATACACCACCGGGTATCGCCTTTTTTTCAGTCTGGGAGGTAGCTTGTTGTCTCTTCAGTTTCCTGTATTTCTTACACTGAAGTGGGCACTCAACTGGTTCATCTCTGCAGTTATTTTGGGTTCCCAGAAACTGTGTTTATTCATTCTCCAATTCATTACGCTGTTGGTGTTTTAATGATATGAGTAAGTCTGAGTACAATTAAAACTTGTTTCTTTTGTTTAATGTCGTTGTTGAATTCTCACACTTGCCTATTTTAACTACTTCATTTACATTTCTCCCTAGCGAAGAGGGACTATTTAGCACACCAGTATGTACAGTTCATTTGCTCAGAGATAGTTATTTGAGGTAAAATCCCAGGAAGTCAAAAATTTTGTTTTCCACACTCTGGGAAAAAGCCTGAATCATATCAGAAACTACTCTCGGTCAAACGAAAGTAACACAAGAAAAGATCTTAATAGTATTTGTGCGATTTGAGGCAATGATCTTCCAAGGCACCCTTGAAGGCATTTTAGAACACATCAGCCAATGAAAACTATCACTTTCGTTATCCTATTCTTTAACTTATATTAGGGAATCCCTTTCTTTTGTGTACAAAGTACTTCAAGTCAAATGGGTACCTCCTTAAGCGGAGTAGCATAGAATTACACCCATCCTCAAGGCAACACGTGAGTGACTGGAGGACACTCTTCAAAATACAAAGTTGATAGTACATCTACTTTTTTCGCCAAAATTGTCAGTTCTTCGTATTCGCTCGGAGGAACAATGTCAGGTTTTTTCGCTGAGTGAGAATTAGGGAATAATTAAAAGCATTCTACTTTCGGGAGGAAATAAGGGCGTTAAGAAAGAACTACTTCCCCTTCCTTTCCCTGCTCTGAGCATCCTGAATCTCAAATGCGAACAATAATTTCATGTCGGAACAATATTTTACGTATGGATCAAATAAATAAGCCATAGGGGAGTTTGAAATTTTCTTCCCGTGATGGAAATATTCGTGTAGCATTAAAAATATTTAGCGCCTCGTTTGCGTGACCGAAACGTTTAAAACTGAATTTTCTTGTCAGTACATTGCTGTGAAAATAATCTCATATTTCATAAGATCAATGTTGAGTTTTTTAGGAATTGTAAGAGTACGCTCTTCTCTGATACAGCGAAGAGATGTCAAAAAGTAGATTTCAAAAAATATTTACAAACGTCGTTCTTTCAACCGTAAGCTATGATATGCGATTATCAAGGTGCACAATGGAATGTTTCCTTCCATTACTGTTCAGGAAACTCCTAACTAGAGCACGGACATGTGCCCTAATAAGGGTTCCATTGTATATTATATCTTTTCAGGCAAGATTAAATGTCGCGTCATTTCATGACAGTTCTTTACAACTTATGTCCACCCCTCAGAGTGACCTGCCCAATTCCTTCCCTCTCTCAAATAGGAAAATTTACTTTCAAAAACTGGTTGTTTTGTTTCCTATTTCCGTTTTCAAGTTTTCCGCTAAATCTATTCGGAGAACGTTCGCCAGATGTTTGAAAGTTAATCAGTTTGGCGATTACACCAATCTAACTACCATTAAAATGCTCACACATAATACTGCGTATATTTCACAAATGCATAACGAACGGCGCACATGATCAAACGTTGTTACTAAAAGGCCTTTATAAAGGGGCTACCGCAATTGGTACTGACACAGCACCCGAAGAATACACTGGATACCCCAGAGGTGGGTCCGCAGCTTGGATGGTCAGATTCCTGAGGAGTGTGGGATGAGCCTGGATGCTGTACCGCTCCTCGTCATCGTTGGTGAAGTACAGTAGTTCTAAAGCTAGCGAGGCCCACTGGCCTCGAACGCATTCTCCATTAAGGCGCCCGACTGGGGCCATTATCTCTTGCTTGGTGAGAACACGGCTAGTGTATGTGCCCTGAAGAGATACAATAAAGGAAGAGCTTATTAGTTGAACTGTAGCGAATACACTGGAATGTAATAATACATGCAAGAAGAGTGTTCACATAGCTAAGTATTTCCAATTTATTACCTTGCTTTTGTCTCGACCCAGCGAGAACAGGAACGGCTTTTCATCCATGATAGACAACTGCCACTCGTGGCCTATCTCACTGCCTAGGTACCAGTCCCTATCATACTCTGTCATGTATTCCACAAGTTCATCTTCACTTGTCACTTCTCCAAGAACAGCTTCGTCGTAAGTTAACTTGAAAGCATATCTGCAATGAAGTAAAGTCAAAGTGGGATCAATGATCATGGACCTTTGAAATACTAATTTCTTGGAAGTTTCTCCTAGCGGTAAATAGGGAAATGCTGAGCAACGCAGAAACGAGATTTGAGTTCCAATAGGTCTTCTTCGTTAATTTTCTCAAAAGTAGCTTCGGTAGTTGGCAATGTTAGAATCTCTAAGGAAAGCATGGCGTTATGATTTTCCTTATTGACTTTGTTGTTGATTAATACGCGAGAAGATCAACTAGAGTAGATCGGTAGCTTCGGTAGTTGGCAATGTTAGAATCTCCAAGGTAGGAACTTTACTAACGTTTGGTGTCGAAGAGCATAGCATTATAATTTTCCTTACTGATTTTGTTGTTGATTAATACACGAGAAGATCTATTGGTTGATATATGATAAAGACAGAAAACCGACATTGATAACGTTTTGATCGCTGAACAAAAAGAAACCAATTATGGACAGAATATGCTGGAAAAAACCTTGGGTATATTATAATCAGCTGTGATCTCAAGTATACTGGAGAGCAATTACCAAAATCTGTCACGCACGTTTGTAGTGCACTGTACACCCCTTCTCTGTTTCCGAGATTACACATCTTGTACAGAAAGGAGAGAGGATTTCAGACGGAATGCAACACATCAATAATATTCAGCTTCATCTTTCATACCTGTACGCCTTCAAGATCAGCGATTTAAGCTCCGTCTCTTTTTCCAGCCAATCAACATGTATTGACCAAGGCACGTCGCCAGCGTACACTTTGTGCACGTGACCAGGTCCAGCAGCTACAGCAGACGATCCTGGGAATCCAAGTACCTCCACCATAGCGTAACACGCGCATGTCAACTGACGGTAGAAGCTTATCAGAGTTGAATCACTAAGGATACTTTCTGCAATACCCTTGCTGTTGTTTCCAAAGTTTAAACCCTTCACAACGTGTCTGAACCAGAAATCGGGAAATTTTTCTGATAAAGAGTCTAAATTATGTTTGTCTACTGGGATGGAAAACTTCCAATGATGTGGCAAATCAAGTCTATGGGCATGCTCTGATGTAAAAGTAACTGGCTTCATATAATCGCTTGCGCCTGCTTTAGCATCCCTCTTGGTAGCTCCATAGCTAAGAACGTCATAATTGAAATCACTAAAAACTGGATCGACTTTTTTAAGGAGCTTTTCGCTTGAGCCTTTATTTTTCGATGCGCTTGCCTGTCCAATATCCAGTGCTGGAAAACCACCTAGATTGAAAGATTCGTCGAGATCATCAATCCCTTCGTCTTTGACGTGAAGACCACCAACGCTCCCTGACTGCTTGCGTTTTCTATCGCTCGTCTGACTTTCATCCAGTTTCAAGCTTTCCTGAGACCATACACTATCGCTAAGACTGGGCAAAGAGCTGCTTCGTCGTCTCTTGGGTGATGTAACTCTCGTTGTTGGTTCTTGATAATCTGTTGAACTCATGAAAACATTTGGAATGTCCAAATCATCCTGACTTGTTTGTCTGACTAGTAAAGCTTCCTTGGGTTTTGGAGTAGGTAAAACCTCTACTGACATCATGACCTCTTGCTTTGCAATGTCAATGGATACTTGATGTGAGGTTTGTTCCGGGATTTCAAACTTTCGATCTTTACAATAATTCACCAAAACCCAGACAAGAGTCTTCAAGAAATTTTCCGAATTCCTCCGTAAATTTTCTGGCTGATCAATTACACCAGTCAGTACATTCTTCGCGTCTGAGTAAGTATTGAGGATCAATGTGTCACACGGGCAAAGAACGTTTGCTACGTGTTGGTTCAATGAAACCAGTGGCCATTTTCCCTCATGCACAAAAATATCCTGAAACACGTCATCTACTCGCGTGGCTTCCACAGTGTGGCACGAGGTCTCCTGCAGCTCAAGGCCTTTCAATACCGTAGTGCAAAATTTGTAACCACACTCAAGCACGTGGACCCAAATCAAACGGTCCTGAAAACGCACCAAGTAATGGTCCCCTGGTGATGGATTACCCAGAGTGCCCATAGCCATGGTAACACCAAGAGTTGACACTACCTGAGGTGTCAGTTGTTTGTAAAACACGGAGTCAGGGCAGGTTGCTGCAGCCGTGCTGGCAGCCTTGGGCCAGGACCGCAATGGCCGCGGAAAGCCCACCAAGAACACAGGAAGACAGAAGAGTGGTAGCAATGGAGTGGCTAAAATTGTTGCAGCCCCCAGTACAGCTAGTACCACAGGCAGTAATATGACGAGTGCAAGAAGGATAGGTATTGTTGCCTTGTGGTGCTGTTTGGGAAGTGTCCACGCTGTGACAGTGAGGGTCAGCATGTAGGATATCTTATTTAGTAGCTGCTGTAGTCTGTCCCTGCAGGCTCCCACCAGCATCAGCTGTAGTCCAAGACCTGCAGTACCCCACCAGGTAGCCACATCTGACCCCAGAGCCGTCGCAGTCAGATAAACGACGGATATTTCCAGCAAAGAATTAAACGTGTTTTGCCAGACCTGTATAAAAATAATTTTTCATGAGTGAAAAAGTATAAGTAACTTTAATTAAGCATTTGACAACTTCTAAACAAGATTCATGAAGTGAGATCAATATGACGGTCATAAGCACGTATTTGCCTGGATTTATTTCTGTGCAAGAATAAGAGTGCCAACGCCGTAGAAAATACGAGAGAGGCATTCAAATTTAAAGGAACAGTCAGCTTTATTACCTGTCGAAGAGCCCTGACAGTTCCAATGGCCACAGCAAAGTTTGAAACAGTTGCGCTCTCTGGGGCAAGGAACAAGCTGAGAAAGGCAACTTGAAGCAAAGGTACAACTGAAACAAACATGCCAAAAAATTGGTAAAAGAATTTGCTTATTAATAATTACAGTGTAACATATGATTCATGCAATTACTAGTTACAAGTCAATAAGGTTGGCAATATTCTCATTCGTTGTAATACTCACCCATGACTACAGCCTTAGTTTATAAAAGACTAGACATAAAAGCAGATCCAATCTCATAAATCTGAATTCCCAATTGTGAGTCATCAGAGTTGCTTCATTTTCTTGCTATTTAACTCTCAACTTGCACTACAATTTTGTTAACACTGCACAAATATTATTCAAGGACTTAAATGTACCTGGCTGTGTAATGACTCAAGTCTAACCAGAAACAGCAACCATTCACAATACCACAACTCACTTTGTATCCCATTTCCAGAAGTATGATACTAATATGGTCTAAACAAATGTGGCATACATGTAAATGTGGTCCACTCCACTTTCTCTTTCTTAGCAGAATTTTGCCAGTTGTCAAGTCATCCATTCATACTGGCAAGTTAATTGTCCCCCCAAAGAAACCAACACTATGCCTCAGCCGACAAAGCATATTAAAGACATGTCCTAGCTATATGTAGCTCAAAACAAAGAGAAAAAGAACCTACTCACCATAGCAAAGCAGTACTTGGTGCAGAAGACCAATGTATTTCAGAATATTTTTTCTTTTCTTAAACTCTCTAGATGACTCAATACTTGCTGGATAAAATGGATTTCTGAGCAAACCAAAAAAAATGCTCACAGATTGTATATCTCCCAGAACTTTAACAAGAACCAAGAGCACCATGAACAAAACACCAAAGGCATCAAATATCTCCAGGCTTGCATCTGATGAGAAATGGCTGGAAACTGCTGCCAAAGCCCCTGTTATTGCTAACATTACTACAAAAATCAATACTTCTCTCATTTTCCATTCTGCCACTATTGGCTTCAAGGTTTTTCCTTGATTTATTTTGACCCATGCTTGAAGAACAAGGCCAAAGATGTCCATACTGAGGATGAAGCCAAAACAAGCTGACACGATAAGAATGGCAGTAGAATTTGAAATAAAAGTTGCCATGACAACCACAAGACTTGAGATGATAAACATCACCAGTAATCTGAAAGAGAAACAAAAGGCACTTGCAACTTGAAGAGCATTGAACCAGGATTGGATCTTGTAAAGGAAATGAAAAAATTATTAGAAAAGGAGTTTTACACTTAATTATCTAGGAGAATGTGAGGACAAGCTAGACATAAGAAACTTGCCCACAAATGGATCAGAGGACAATGATACAGAGTAATAGACAGTTACTTTTCCAATGTGGAAGGACTGGTATACAATATCATTATACTTTGTTGTGTAGGTTTGTTATGCCAATTACATGTAATTTGATAAATATGATTTGCTGTTGGTACCTTCAGTGCACAAAAAAAAAAAAAACACAACCCCTCAGACATTGCTGCGGAATTTTATGCAGCCCCTTATTGTCAAGTGCAAAAAAAGGTCCTACAGTGTAGGACCTGTTTCTCCCAGTCCAGCTAACTTAACTGGTCCTCGAAGCTTCTGTTTTCAACCAAGATGGGGATTTCAAAAGTTTTGAAATTTATATAATAAAACTGTCAGATGAAGAAACAAATTGGAGTAGTAAGGGTGCCATTCCTTAAATCTTGATTTTAAAATATAGCTTTAAGTCCATTAGGTTACAGGAAGTTTTGAAAAACAGATCCCAGGTCTCTTATTCAAAATTTAATCAGACTTTTTGGGAAAACCTGCAGTGTGTCCACACCTATCAAACATGAATCTCACTCTATAACCAACCTCAAATCAGTTGCTAATGGGGAGCCACCAAGACCAAACACCAGTGCCTGCTCTGCCAACCATGGAAACAGTGCATCCAGAGGAGGCAAGATACCCAGAATCCATAGCAAGGGCAGAAAAGGAAACAAGATATGAAGTACCTTGTCTGTTGCCACCAACTCAGAGTAATGTCTGAAAATATGAAAAAAAAAAAAATAAATGAAACAACATTTTACAATATAACAATTCTCAAATATTTATGATTGTGAAATTTGTTGCTAACAAGGGAAGAGGTCGTGACTTGAAAAGAGATTTGCCTCTTCTCATAGTGGTCCTAGTTCTTTAACCCTTTTATCTCTAAGAGTGACCAGCATCTTATTTCTCCCTACAATATCACCCTTTAATTGCACATTAAGGTCATGAGAATAAAGGAAATGATTGCTAACTTAAGTAGTTCTTCCTTGTTAAACAACTTCTCCTTGTAAACACTGTAGAAAATGTATAGAGAACGGTATTGAAAACCTGCATTATGATGTTAGGATGTGAGGGTTAAGCATTATGAGATACGGAAATTCCTATTTAATAGTGTATTTTTAATAAGTTAACTTTATTACAGTGCTGCATGATGTTTTAAGTGTCACTTCACACAATTAATTTGAATTCAATTTTGTCACATCCCAATTCAACCAACTGATTTATTAGTGTTTTCCTACAATGTACTGTATCTTCCCACATTTCAAGTTCTTGATACACAAGCTGCAGCACTCTCTGACTATAAAAAAAGTATAACAGCAAAAAAAAAAACAATCAAACATTCATTTCTGTCATATTGAATGGATTACTTATACTTTCAGAACTCTCTGAGATAGTAACAACTGTACAAAACCTCTTGGCTGCATCTCAGGCTAGCAAAATTTGTTGAGAACTCTGCCAGCCTTCCAAATCTTTAGACAGGCTATGTGCCTGGGTGCGTGTACATGATGACCAAATTGCCAAGTTGGAAGACAAGTGCAAATAACAAATAGTGCGTGCAGTGCAAAAGTTTCAACTGTCTTGACTTAAGGTGATGTGTTTTTCATGTTAATTATTACCACATATCACAACATGATTTCTCATGCAATATAGTGTCACTAAAAACTAGTAAATTTTTCAAAGACTACAAATTGCACTCACCCTAGGGGCATGTGCAATTTTCTTGTCTTTGAGAAATTCACCCACACTTATTAACTCCAAATTGTACTCGTAATAATGTTGTTACCTATATTAAAATATTTCTCAAAAAAATTGTTGCAATTCCCGCAAGTTCAAAACTGGTTAACATTACCCTCATCCAAACACACCTCTCGACGACGAATGAGAGCATACGTATATATGTAGCTAATGTCTTAGTTACCTTAAATACAATGCTACATCAAGCAAATTAACAGATCAAGTGACATTCAATACCTTGCCAAAACTCCAATGATTCCAAATATCACCACATAAAATGGTCTCATCAGTGGAGCGATTTCCAATGTGTCCAGAGCTCTAAAAATAGCCAACTCGGGCGGGCATGAAGAACTCAAAGAGAACTGAGAAATACACACGGTTAACCATCCTAGAGTGTAAAGAACCACTGTAGCACCCGTGTTTGAAAACAACCCAGCCAGGTTCGCCGGTAAAAGATACAAAAACATTAAACTACATACGACCCCAGATATCACCGCATGGGCAATCATGTTTACAACAAATCTCTTTGCGGGAAAAGTAAACTCCACCGTTTCGACACCGCAACATGAAACGAAGTCAATCTCGTCGTCTTGAGACAAGAGGTTCTTTTGAAATTTAGCGAGACTCGTCGCATTTCGACGCATTAACCAGCTGAAAAGCTGTGTACTTATTACAAATACGACCACAAGGCCTCCATAAATATAAGCATTCATGTACACATCAGTTATGATTTTGAACTCAGCAAGAAGTGTAAAAATCCCTCCAAAAATGAAAGGTACCAAGAACACCAATACTTGATTCAAGTAAACGTAGAATGGTGCTTCGTATCCGAGTTTTAGCTTCAATCCACCGAGCAGCGTTTGCGGGAAACGCTTCCAGAAGAATTCAAGTTTGTAGTCGTTCAGCAAAGGCGCCCCAGCACCTTCCATAGAGCCCATCACATTTAATAGTCGTACGAAATGTTACCGCATTGACCGAAGACGTTTGATCAATAACAAAGCGTGTCCTTATCCAGTGTTTATCACATAAGGATCTCAGTCAGTTTGTCTTGTAGCATTCCAAATGTTAAACACTTGTAAGCTAAGATTTTAGTAGATTCTCCGGTGCATTCAAGATCTGTCATTACTGTCTTTGGGCTATGAAATCTTCGATGTTACATGAAGCTCCCTGAAGAAATGGGGAAGTAAACCTTGTTGATGGCGCCTTTGTGTTTTCGCATCGGATTCGATCCAAGATAAAAAGCCACAACGTAAAGGATTTTCGTGCATTAAATCATTTCATGACGAAATATCTGGCCTATTTACTGAGTTTTCCAAGTCATCTCGATAGGAACAATTCTGCATTAATTTCTTTGCAAAATTAGTTGATGTTGACGTCAAGGCAACCGTGAACACCTGATTGGTTCCCGACCCAAAGTAAATTCCATCTCAATAGGGTAGGGTTGGTGGAATTATTGCGCCCTGAAAGTCCCAGCCGGGATGGAAGACCTTGGGTTGAGACTATTCAAATAATAGGTAGTAATGTTTTTTAATTGATTGTTGCTTGAGTCTTTTTTTTTTTCTTTTTTTGTTTCTGACTTGTATTTCAATAGGAAATAAGAAAGTCCTGACTCCAAAGCAGTTCTGATATGTGAAAAAATTAAAAAATGTATTGTGCACTCAGAAGAGTCGAGTGAAAGACCTATTGGGAACAATGAAGCCATAACTATCCTTATCCCGTTCTGCTATATTATTTACTACACGCACCATCTGTTCTAAACCACCGCTCTTTATTGTATAACTTTAAACAAATAAATAGTTGGTAAAAAATAAATTTGTGATAAATTGATTGAACTGCCTACATATATGAATGGTTTGTGATGGTAGACCCTCTCTCTTACTCCAGGTTGGGAAGGTGGAAGAGCCACTGGTAATGAGATTGCATTCAAAGGTCCCATCCTTATTTTAATAACCCCTCTGCCTTCATGTCCATCAAGTTCTCACAAAACTGTAACGCTCACATCTGGATGGCCACACTGCTTGATAATTGCAAAATTTTTAAATTGCAATGTTTTGATCTAATTCCTCAACATCTCTATTTAATTGGTAACAATGCTCATGTGTGACTAACTCATTGGGACAACACTTCTCTACTCAAAAAGTTAAGTTGATTTTGTTCAATCTATTTACCATGTTTATCACCTTTCCTCCCAACAGTGGCAAATGAAAAGTTGGAAAATAAAATCAGTTTAAAAGGACACAAACCAATGTTATGGGATCTAAGCAGAGTAGAGAAAATCATGAACTCATAACACTGCAATCATTAACACAGTCTACAAACAAAGACAACTAGTTCACATCACTAGTTTAACATCAATTCTGGTAACAAAGAGGAAAGTTAAATAAGCTTTGAGGGATATTTTCTTCCCACACATGGATGAAATAAGACTTGCTGAATAAAGCAACAAAAATAAAATCCGTATATCCCTCACATTTCCCACACCTTTCCATTATAATGATCATCACTTTTTCCCTTATTGATTGTGCCATGGTGAAATCCAGCCTGTATGTTACAATAACATAGTAAACATACTACAACTACTAGTTGCTCCTTGCTGGAAAATTTTGTTGCCAATCAGATATTGGGGTTAAAATTGCCATTAGAGAGCTTCCCCGACATGACTAAAGAGTTCAATAAAAAAAAAATTCCCTTTATACATTTTGACATAGGGGTCCTCCTTTGCTATATACAGGGTCTGTACAGTTTTGAGCTGTGACTTTCCATGACTTCCCAAAAACTTCAATAATCTAAGTTAAGTAAGTGTACCGATAAGTTCATTCCAAATGGCTCACAAATTTGCATAGATGTCAAACAAGAATACCCACAAGGGTAGATCTTCTGCCAATATTTATTTATACTGAAATTAAATCTTGTTTCTTGAATTTTTTGTTTAAAATTTGGGTCTATGTTGCTTTGCACTCATAGCAAACCAGCCAATTTTCCAGGAGCCAAACAACGACTTTTCAGGCCTGGAAAATGAAATTATAAAAATTCCATGACTTTCCAGGTTTTATGGGACCTGTACGAACCCTGTACAGAAAGGAATTCCCTAAATAAGAGTTCTACGCTGTATTTAAGTTATTTTCAATGTTAATAGTTACAAATTGAGCTAATATCACTAGGAAAACTTTGTCTTACAACTTCATACTATTAGGGTCATGATACCTTGTTTGGAACTACAACTACTGATGAATAACAGTTTCGTATCAGTAAACTAGTTACTGTAGAAAAATTGAGCTCTGAAAATTTTCTGATGCATAAAAAATATTTTCTAGATATTTAAGAACCCTATCAATGTGGGTTCATGCAGGAACACATGTACAAAGTTTACACTCAAATGTATGCCTAATTCAGCACTTTCCCCTTGATATAAACTGGAATAAACAGCATCTTTACAAGCTCATTGAAGATATATCCATTTTTCAACTTAATGTGGTTTTGTTTGTATCCTCAGACATACCCTAAGTTATATTGAAAGGTGTCTCCCTTTACAAACATGTTTACAACATTGAAAACAAAAGAGTGTACTTAATCATGAAGCCTAATTCATTCAATAATCAAAGCTACATTGAAAAGTCTATACTACACCATATACTTTAGCTACAAGTACAGCATGCTGATGAGATTAAAAAAAAAAAAGATGTTAACAGTTTTTGACATTGCAGGGTAGTGGACAATTGCACTGGTTATGTGACTACAAACATTCAGTGCTCTCCACATAATTGCAAATTGCAGTTCAGAAACAGTTATAAAAGTTCAAAATTAGTTTGGCATGTTCTCTACACTTTGTTTGACAACATTTCCATTTAGTAATTCAGCAGCTTTTTGAAGATCTAAGCTGTTGCCTCCTTCTAAAGATGCTAATCTCTCAGCTGCCATTCTTTCAACATATTCCCTTTCTCTCCGTTCTTGCTCTTCCTCTTCTCTTTCCTAAAAGAAAAACAGCTCTAAGTTACATTATTTCAGTACTTGACCCCTTCATACCCAAAGTATTTCTAGACTATAGGTAGCTATTAACTATTTTACTTCCAAGACCTCATTACTAATTCTCCTTACTACATGGCATACAATTCTTATGAGGTTACTATGGGGAACTTGGTATTGGATTAACTAAGAACAATTTTTTTTCTTTACTTACATCGCTTGTCGGAGATATTGTCAGGAGAAATGTTGTCTTCATCAATCATGGGAAATTAAGGGTTACCTGAGTGGGAGGGCTAGATGGGAAAACATTTTGGTTTGAGGTCATAATGTATGGAATGGGCACAGCAAGTTCCATGCATCATGACCCAGAGCCAAATATTTTCAAGTCCAGACTGACCTAACTCAGTCAATACACATTTTATAATATGACTCTCATTGTTCCTATTTCTTCCTTTCTTCTTTCAGCTTGTAGCTCACAAGGCCTTAGGGCTTTACAAGGCCATAGGGCTTTACAAGGTCATAGGGCTTTACAAGGCCATAGGGCTTTACAAGGCCATAGGGCTTTACAAGGCCCTGCTCACATTATTGTGTTATCATAACTGGATTTTTGTCTCTGGTTTCCTACAATAAAAGCATGTGTGGGTTATATGGGTCATATAATAATCAAAAGTATGTGCATACAGTTTCATGGAATAAAGCGGCAGATTTAATAACAAATTCTTGCCAAAAAAGCTAAGTAAAATTTCTTTGCTCAAGGACAACCTTAATCAAATAAAAACATCAAAATAGCTCACAAAAGTAGGAACTCTAAAAATCATAATAACTCAATGGAAAATTAAAACTTTGTAAAAAATATTACACCAAAACAGAAAATTTTTTGGAGACCATTTAAAATTGAAAGTGGGGATTAATTTCTGAGGCTCCATTAATGAAACAAGGTGAATCTTAACCCCTTAACTCCCATAAATGACCAAGACAGAATTTCTCCTTATGATACCAATCCAATATCAAGAAGACAAGTGATGAGAATGAAGAAAAATGTAAATTAAAAGATTAATACATGTAGTTGATCCAGTAACAAATTCTCCAAACTAACATCATAAGAAATGTATGGCAGACAGTAAAGATTCATGATTCCATGATTCATCTCCTTGTTTACTAAAACCAATGGGGTAGCATTGAAGATGGGCTCTGAATGGCTACTCAAACGCTGAACAACCTTTGCTATTCACCTCCAAGTAACTCGCACTGGATTTGCACCCAGAAATAAGGTAATTGTTGCAAGAACAAACAAGCCAAATCATCTTTGGGTGCAATATACTAAAACAAATATTTAACTTAGTGTCAGTGGCTAGTGTTAGATATTCACCCCACCCCTTCTCTGCATGGCAAATATTCACCTCTAGCCATCTCCACTGTGGTGAATAGTTACTAAATATATACCAATGTACAACTGACCTGCTCCTTGAGTCTATAAAATTCATCAATAACATATTGATATCTTGGTGTGGTAATTCCAAAGAAAGCTGCCAGCTTTTCTCCCAGATATTCAGCCACTAAAGATAGCAAAAAAAAAGGAAAGAATAAGGAAAAAATAAAATGAATCAGTAATATTATAAGACAGGTGAACTGAATTGACAACTGCTAATAACAGCGGAGCTCCCAGAGCGCAGCCCCATAATTATACAAAATGGTAGTGGTAACCCATCAAGCCAAAAAAATTTGGACTTGTGACCGTACAACTGTACGACCGACCATACAAGGTGCTACTTTTAACATGCATGGTCAACTGTACCACAGGCACGCCAACGCCATGGCTTTGTCCAGTAGTCTGAGTGGTCAGTGCTCTGGGTTCCAAGTCGGACAACCTGGGTTCTAGTCCTGGCCGGGGCAAGACGTTATGCCCTTGAGACGTGCGGAGGGGAAAAAAAATGCGAGCTCCGCTTTTAGGCTTGGCTAAATCTATATATCACAATTGGCCAATGAGACTGACCTTGAAATGTCAAACATTTTATTTGTTCAGCCATTAACAAGCTATCTGAAATCTGGGAATCAAACTCATAAACTCACAACAAATCTGTTGTCATTGAACAATTATCATTTTTCAAAGCTTCGAGAAAATTAAAATAAGGATACTCTTAGAATGTACAAATAGCACATGAAATGGTGTAACATAACTATAAAAGAGTAATGATTACACAAACTACCTCTATTAATTGTAAATACCTTTAAGAGCTCCACTTGATACTGCTACAACGTAGTACCATACCCAAAGTGGCCATGTTAGGTCAGACTGAAAAATCAAAGGGTAAGCTGTCTCAATAACATCTCCTTGGTTCATCATATCATGATATGTGAACTTCCACAGCAAAACATACACTATTAATGGCTTTCTGTTCAAAAGCCGTTTCTTAGCCATTCAGAAAAATTTGCATCCGTTTGAAAGGCTTTGGTCATCCATTCAATAGAAACATCCATCCATTCAACTGGCTTGGTCATCCATTTGTCTAAAACATCAGCCAGTTCGAACGGCTTGGTCATCTGTTTGTTGAAAACATCAGCCTGCTCGAATGACTCAGACAATTTTCTGTCAAACAACTTGTATCATCCGTTTGGAAGGTTCAGGATTGGATAGTGTTGTGTTACCTGTCACACAGGTCTACTTTATGCAAATGTCAGAAAATTTATTATATTAAAATCAGAAATGGAATCGTGCACTTAATAATTATGTTTACCACATTGAATTCACTGTCAAAAGAAAAGATAAAGGGAACAATTTGGCAACATGCAAAGCTGCAATAAAAAAGTTGCAGTCGCATTTTTGTGCGATAAAGTGGCAATAAACACTCAACAAGGCAATGATAAATAATGACAACTTGACCTTCACAGGTTATTTGAGTTTTAATAGAAGACACTGAACTAAGTCTCTGCATGTTTAACAAACTTGAATACTTCCTCAGGCAATTTTATGGTGGCTGTGGGAAGTCAATATTTTTATTACATCAGAACAGTTGACTATCTGTTCAAACCTACTTTAAATGTGAATCGGACTGGATCTGTCCATTTGTTTAGAATAACAGCCAATCCGTTTGGCTCTTATAGCAATTGTTTTTCAAGAGCGGTCCGAAATTAATCGTAAACCCATTCATCCATCTATGTCAACCTGTTTGAAAACTTTCACAAGCCATTCAGTTGTTTGATAATTTTCACAAGCCATTCAGTTGTTTGGGTAACCCATTTGATAATTTTCACATGCCATTCAGTTGTTTGCATGACCCATTCAAAAATTTTCAGTTGTTTGAGTAACCCATTCAAAAATGTACATAAGCCATTCAGAATACTTGACAACCTGTTCAGCCATTTGATAACATCCATTAGAACAGGTGAGTTAACCGTTTGTTACTTGTTTGGTAGCCGTGCACTTCACCCATTTAACAGAAAGCCGTTAGTGTATGTTTTCCTGTGGAAGGTCACATAAATTATCGTAGGACTGGATTGAAATATCTACATTGTTGATCACGAGGATTTCCAGAGTGTTACAAGTGATTAAATTATGGCCTGTAATTGATTTAAGCTGACATTACATATCGTGACTGTAAATATATGTGATGTACAAGTATAAATGCATCAGTTCTATAAATACATGCACAATCATGTACATTGCATGGCAAGTAGCCATAAAAAAGGCACGATTTCATTTAATAGGTAACACACATATACTGAGGTACAAATGTCACAGACGACCCAACCAATGTTTCTGAATGGATTTCTAAATGCCTGTCATAATCTAGTCTTTATCATCATCATGCAATCAGTAAGCCTAATAGACCAGTACTTGGGAACCACAATGAGATCAGTGATTTGTTGCATGGGTGTCCAGCCTTACCTGTCATGCCACTTATTACACTTGGATTTGTTAACACCAATTTATAGCAATCATTTAATTCTTTTCATTTCTTCAACAAGTACATAATGATATTTCTGTAACTTGAAGAACTATTAGCTGTACTCTGTCTGGTCTACATTATGAAAATTGGTTTCATCTTTTATTGTGAAATTTACAATGACTTCACAACACATTATAAATATGCTATACAAAAAGTGTTATCACTTAGGTGACAGTGGCCTAAGAAAGGAATACTTGTGATTACAATGACTGACATTTTAGATGACATGAAGGGAACTCGTCATCAGAGTCAAGTGTTTTAATCCCATTGACACTGTACTAGTAACATCAAAATAAACATATTCCTGTGTTCTTTCAACTTTCTTAGACTCCATGGCTTTTCAGGAAAAGAAAGGCAGAGATGGTCACTAACAATTAACATTTGCCCTCTAAAAACAAACAAAAGTGTTATCCTTTCTATGGTAGTTTTCTTTCTAGTTGAGTCATTCTAAGTCACGACTTCATGAAAATTACAAATTTGCTCATCTTGACTTTAAAAAAAATTCAAGAACTGGCCTGGTAATTCAATCGCTACGTAAGCATCTCTTCCAATGACGAATATTTTTGCACTTGGCAGTTGACGAAGAAAACAATATTTACAACCTGTTTCAATGAACCTGTAAACTGCGTCAGAATGTGTAATTTGTGGCAAAATAGATAGATAAAAGTAACAAATTCTAGGACTAACTTTACGATAGATTAATGCTGAATTGAATCAATCGCTTGAGTCCGTTTATTTTGATTTTTTTCCAAACGCTACATAAGTATCGAGAAATATAAATGATATTGAACGCCAAGGAAGAGCGTCAAATTATGTTTTGTTTCCCTGGCTCGTATTCATTGAAGGCCTTTGCTTCCCATTAAACACACGCGTAGATAAGAATCTAGTTTCAAGGCGAAATTCTTTATCATTTTGCTTCTGAAACGACGAACACTGATTTAATTCTTAGGCAATGAACAGTCTACGTGTAAATGCATTTATTTAACATGCATAATGTGAAAACAGTGGGAATAAATGACACATGATTGTCACGCACTAACCGGATCAATTTCAGTCTCTTTTTTCTTTCTGCTGCTTCTCCTGTCATCGTCTGAACTGCTGTCGGATGAATTTTCCGAAGGTTGGTTCTTCTTCTTCTTTTTCCTGTATTTTTTCTTCCGTTTGTCATCCGAGAGGTCGCGATCAGAGGGTTCGTCTTCCTCTTCGTCGTCCCCGTCTCCATCCAAATTAATCGTTTGAAATTCGTTTTTTAAACCTGAAAAGTTAACTTGAGGTAAACCTGCGACACCTAGATCAATGTTCCCCTCATCTTCGTCGTCGGAATCGTCTTGCTTTTCTCCTGTCAAGGCCGTTTGCTCTGTTGTAGCATTGCTTACCGTCTCCATGTTTGTTGTGATCAAGGTTTCAAAAAGGACAAGCATGCGCGTTATTCATGTGTCACGTGCTGCTAAACGATTGTGGGCTCAAATAGGGTCAGCTTGTTGGCTTAGTCTCGTACCCAGACCTTCAACGGCCAAGTAATTCAAAGCTAGGTTTGAACTAAGATAACTCAGGGTTAGCGTAAAATCTGATTTTATGACTGAAAGCTTTAAAAGAATATTTAGTATAATTCTTTTGGCTACAATTTAATGTCTGGATGTTGTAAAAGTAATTGAAGAAATTAAAACTTAACACCAGGATAGCGCAAATTGGCCTTTGAACAACTCAACCCTCAACCTTAACTCAGTTCAGGTCAACCTATAGCATTTTACGCGAATAATTCCGCAGTGAACAAGTGAAATTGTTATCCAAAACCTAAAAAATAAGCTAATGATAAAACTAGTAATCATGAAATAAACACTTTGCTATCATCGAAAAAGGTAAAAAATAAATTTCAGTTGTTTAAAACTGCATGGTGCTGATAGGCCCTTACCGACAATGCCAGCACATTTTCGGCATAATTCGGTTTTAGGAGCATTTTTTCTCAGACACGTTTTCTTAAAAAGAATTGCTAACATAATTTAGCCTTTTCCGTGCCGTCTCGCCTGCTGTCTTTCCTTGGCAAGTCTATCCGGTCAGCGGTTAGCTTGCATATGTTGTACTCAGTCCTTGCTTAGGCGTGGTCCTTGCTAAAAATCAGAACAAGATGGGTCAGCTTCACCATCATCACGAAGTAACTTAAAGGTCAGAGAAGGGCTTCAGAAGTAAAGCAAGTTCTCTCGGTGCAGCCATTTACTGCTGCAGCAAAGGGAGTATTCTCGATACCCGAGTCCGGTCGCAATAGAAAATGTGCCCTAGTCAAGAGAATATGATATTCCGCCCAAGTTTATTACACGCAAACAAGTGTAATATCGCTGTAAAACAAGCGATGAACGCGTTGAGGACGTCATGAAACGCATAGAGTATTCTTCAGAGGAGGAATAAAAAAAGAGCTAGCGTTGTGTTATACAATACCAGACACATTTGAAGAAAATAAACAATGTTACATAGGAGTAAATAGAAACAAAAAAATGTTTTTCACTTTATTCAGTTAACGTATAACGCTGCCGGATGCCTTGTGTGTATCTTTCTTCAAAATAAATCAAAGCATATTTCAAACCAAAGGTGTATAATTTTCAAAAATGATCATAATCTGAGCATTATTTAAACAAAAACCAGCATTAGGAGTATAAAACGCCAGTTTCACTAGCATAATGGGGAAGGGTCTAACTTCTGAAGTTCATTTTGTTGATTAAAAAACGAACAAACAAACAAAATAAACTTGAACATTCACAACCACACAGAAACGCTTCGTGTACTGTACACTCCAGTTGTAAATAGCTCTTTTATTCGAGATTTATCTTAAGGCGTATTTGAAAAAAAAAAGTGTCCTTTTTACTGCGTTTCAATTTTCGACAGTTATTGCGATATATTACAACATTTTTAGCCACTGAGGCAAGATTATGCAATCTAGCCCCTTAAATTAATGCTTTTCGTCGCTTTAGCTCCTCCATGTAAGGCGAGTTCATTCTTTAAGGGAGTTATGTTCACTGTGATATATCAGCTACCACGTGATCCCCAACGTTGAACTGTTGAGGTAAAGTAGCTCGAACACCATGCGCAAACAGGAGGCACCAGGAGCCTGATTAACAAGAACTTTTAATAGGGGGAGACTGCCACTCTTTTCTGACCTCATTTAGCCCTACGTACAATATATTAAATGTCTTATGGGCAGGCGTGTGTGGGCCCTACAGGACAACTGATCTTGGCAGATTAAACTGAGTCAAACAATTTTGCAAGACTTTCGAAATGAATAACAAAATACTTGAAAAACAACCAATCTTCGAGAGCTAAAATCTAGACAAAACTTCCCATGACGATAATCGTAGGAGGCCTATTACAACGATCAGGGTCGTTGTAATGTGAGGTCTTGCAGCGCAAGACAAACCAAGGCTCACAAAATTCGCACAAGGATCTCATGATAATCTAACAGGCCATACATGTGACACGCGTTAAGAGTCTCTCAATGACGTTCTAGCCTGTTCCAGGCGTTCTTTAAGTAAAACGAAGAGCGATAGTGAACATATAGTAGCGGAAGAGAGAAAAAATGAGGAGGCTTGGGTTGGGTCGAGTAATGAAACCCGCCCCAAACCTCCCTCGCTTTTTCACTCCTCTGCTACTTTCGCGCCGTTTTACAAATGAATGCTTGGAACAGGCTTTGACGTTCTGTTAATGAGTTATTCTTGCAGATTTACGGCAGATGAGAATAAAAAGATTCTTTCACAACCAAGGATGGTTTGATATCTGACAATCTTCCACATCCTGCAAAGAACGAAAGACGTAAATAAAATTTCATTTTCCAAACATAAACCATTCACACTATATATGGCATCACCAACACTTCAACTCCAAAGATCTGATTGTTTATTCATCCATCTAGCAACTTGACATTTCCTTCTGAATTAATAAGAAAAATTTGGAGCTAGCTCATGATAATAACATTTCCTTGATAAAGGCTGTAAGGTGTCTTTATTCATGTACTACACATGCACTGGCCTCTCTTAAGAGGGTACCATTCACAAAAAGGCGTCTTCAGAGAGGATGTATTTATGTGTAAAAGTATTAACATGAACAAGAACAACATGATTATATTATAACACCAGAACTCAACAAAATTTCAAGTGTCCAAAGGAACTGATACAAAAACGGACTGCATTTTATGCCATTAAGGATTTAACTCCATTAGCTAAGATATCAGGCAGTCTGTGAATGTGAATATTTTTAAGTGTGATCTTTCCAAGTTATTAATACAAAAATTTTAGTTGATGTCTTGTACATCTTAATTAAGTTTTTTATACCTTAGCATCTACTTTTATCGTTGATTGCATGTATTTTTTTACTTTTTACCTTGTGTGTTCCTTTCTGAAAACCATCCGAAAAAGTTATCTCAATCAAGATGATGATGATGATTATTATTATCATTATTATTGAATATGAAAGCGATCTTTGCAGTTATGAACACTACTTGAGCAGAGATTAAAAGGAAATGAAAAAATAGAACTAGAAAGAATAACGTAAATTTGTGACTTGGAGTAAAGATTTTTTTTACTCTCTCAATTGAGATACAATGTCGTAAAAGTCTTGTTCTTAGTAAGTAGACAAAACCCAACCTGCTACTATCATGGCAATTTTCAATTCTTCTTTTAGCATGTGTAGAACATCTGACACACCTTGCTTTCCCTGAGAGAAAAAAGCGCGGTAAAAAATAACACAACACAAAACATTTTCCGATCATCCGGACTCGCCTCTCGGGTTCCTGTTTTTATAAATATCAACAAGTTACATTCGAGATCTGTGACAACTTTTTTCCTTCACACAAAGTACATGTAGAGAAGCAATGTTCATGCTAATCTATGAATGAAGCTTCAAAAAAAAAATGGTGAAATAAGCGACGTGCGCACGCTGTAGCAGCTTGAAACAGACTGATCTAATTTATAATATTGGGTCGTAAAACGTTTTTGGTTAGCTTTACTAACTTTTTAAAAGTACTTTTGGTAAATGTCAACATAGCCGAATGCACAATTATTACAACGATCCTTATTCAGTTCTATTTTTGGTTCATTAATGTTCCTATATTCTATTATCCTAACTATTCAGCCCCCACGAGCCCGGATATAGTCGAGGTTTAACTGTATATTTTACAATGGAATCTTCTCATCTCGTAGTCTCCTTCGCAGTTGTTCTTCGGATATCAGGCAACGAGAACGGCTATAAGGCATGCTTCTCATCTCGATTTCACATTTTTTAAACCTTTAGTTTATTCAAGCTTATAGTATTCTTCGTCCCCGGGCGTAGCATCTCAGCTCTCACCGAGAACACAAAATTGAAAACACATATGCGTAAGAGTAGACATGGAAGGCAAAATCTCTAGTTCATACGGTGGAGTTTAGTCGTTCGCACCCCATTCTCATTCCCAGAGTCCTCGTTGCTTTTGGTCGCGTAACCGAAAATGAAAAAAGAGAGTTATGTAGTGTTCCCTTCAAGGTGGGTATAGTTTTTGTTGTAGTACTGACAGAGCTACATCTAAAGCATAGTAATAGTTATAGGTCGATCAATTCAAAGCTTCAACATCCCTTGAGCAACCCCCTGGGCATTTGAACTTTGAAGATTACGTCGTTCATATTACCGCCCCCCCCCCCCCACCCGGCTAAAATTGTGCTCAAATGCTCCACCCAAATGTCGGATTGATCGTCAATTTTTTTGTTGAAAGGCAAGATTGGCGATCGTGACTTTGTGGACCTCAATTTCTGAGCCATCTGCTCACGAAAGTGAAAATTGAATCTTTAAACACCTCCTTGTTAAAAGATAAAACATTATTCCAGTGGAAAGACGTGACAGTTCTGGTTCAAATTTCCTGCCACAACGGACCACGTTCAAATTCCTCGCTCCCCGGGCACGGACGCCAGTTAAATGCCCATGGGTTGGCCGGGAGATGTTGAAGCTCCAAACTGATCTGTGCATGGGCTTCAAAGGTAATCTTTGGGGAGGAGACTTTGAGTTTTAGGTACAAAAATGATTGTGCGACTTACTTGGTATGCTAAACCCCACACCACAGGTCTCCCAATGAACACAGCCCGTGCTCCAAGTGCCAACGCTTTGAGTACGTCAGTACCATGTCTTATTCCTCCGTCAACAAAAACGTCAACTTTCCCTTCAACAGCCTTTACTACTTCTGGGAGAGCATCAATCTACAAATAAAACAAACAAGCTTTGTAAACATTTATAGCGGAGCTCGCAGAGCGTAGCCCCATAATTATACAAAATAGTAGTAACCCATCAGGCCGAAAAAATTTGGATGTACGACCGTACGACCGTACGACCGTACAAGGTGCTACTTTTAACATGCGTGGTCAACTGTACCGCGAACACATCAACGCCACGGCTTTGTCCAGTAGTCTAGTGGTCAGTGCACTGGGCTCCGAGTCGGACGACCCGGGTTCTAGTCCTGGCCGGGGCAAGGCGTCGTGCTCTTGAGATGTGCGGAAAAAAAAATGCGAGCTCCGCTTTTAGGCTTGGCTAAATCTATATATTATGATAAGCTGAATTCTAAACGCAATTTTGGTGGTTCTTACTTATGATCTATTGGAGGACAAACGCATGAATGACGTCATCATTACCAACACTTTGTTTTTTGTTATCAATAAACCAAATAGATTTTATGTTGCCGTGGGTCTGTACAGTGATAGATCATGGAACACATCGACATTAGTGACACACTGAGCTGCCCCTCACCTGTCTAGTATTGAAATGGTCAGAAGAACTTACATCCCAATCTCTCCCTTGAATCAAGAATTTAAAGGTGTATGAAGCTGAGGCAATTGCTTTGTGTCTGCTTATAGGGGGTGTCCAAATAGGAAAGGTGCTCATTATCTAAGGTTTGAGTGCTTTCAGTAATTTTAACGAAGAAACTAATGTACATTACAGTTGCTGGCACTCCATCCAGTTGTCGGCCTCCATGATTGGACACAATTATTCCATTAACACCATGCTCAACAGCTAGTTTAGCATCCTCTGCAGTCAATATCCCTTTTATCAGAACAGGTAGCTTGGTAACACTTTTCAGCCAGGCAAATGAATTCCAGTCAATTGCCTGTTCAATGATAGATTTCACGTTCACAGCATAGTCATCAGTATTCGGTCCTTCAACATTACCAAACTTCAAATGTGGCACTAAAACAGCTTGATTTCTTAAATCGCGCCATCGCCGACCATGGATTATGGCATCAACTGTAAAAACGATTGCTTTGTAACCACTGTCCTCTGCACGCTTAATAAGGCTCTTTGTAAATTCACGATCCTGGAAGATGTACATTTGAAGCCAATGTAAACCATTTGGTGCTGTGTTTGCAATATCTTCAATGGTGGCTGATGCCATACAACTAACAACCATGCAAGTTTTTGTATCTTGTGCGGCTGTATCAAGAGATTATTGAAAATAAATCCTTCAAGTATCCTAGTTCATTTGAATAACCCTTAATTAGTATGCACATTCTTTATTCTGTTCTCTACACTTTTTTTAAAGCACTAACAAGGAAAGTTTGAGCAACAATCAAGAGCACTTTTTAGGTTAATGATCATCTCCTTCATTCTCATAACCTTTATATTTAATTGAGGGGTGACACTGTAAAGAGAGATTAGATGGTGGCCAGTCCTAGGGGGGGTTAGAAAAGTTTATAAGTTTTAAGTCTCACAGGTAATTTTCTGCGAATGAATAAAACCTTGAAATAACAACTTGCTAAAATAGATGAGGGAGATGCAGTGGCCTTCTGGTTAGTGCACTGGACTCTGGGTTGAGAGGTCTGGGTTTGAGACCTGGCTGGGTCATGTGTTGTGTTCTTTGCCAAGGCACTTCACTCTCACAGTGCCTCTCTCTCTCCACCCAGGGGTATTAAAATTGGTACCAGTCAGGGAAGCCTGATGAAGTGCAGGGTGATAACCTAGCAGTGGACTAACATCCCATCCAGGGGGAAGTAGTAACACTCTTAGTTGCTACATGGAAATGGGGACAAAAAGGGAGGAATTAACCAAAGGAGAATAAGGATGGCTGAGGATGAAAAGATTAAACAGAAATGCAAAAGAGTGTCTCAAAAATACTGGATGAGTTTTTTTATCCTAAAAACAGACAAACTGTTAATTACTCTATATAATTTAATTACAGCACTTTCAGTAACATGTGAACTATTGAGTTGTAGATGGGTTTTAAGTTGCCTGCAATCATTTCACAGACCTCAAGGTAACATTTGGTTCATTTAAGGTGCCAAACTTGGTCATTTTTTTAAGTTGTGGATGGAAGATTACACGCCATTTTTTTTGTTTTTGCCTCACTCTGGACTTGACAATCACAAGAATGATTCAGGGCAGTATTGATGTATAATAGCTTTCCAAAGGCCCCAGAGTTCACAAGTAATTGAAAAGTGTAATATCAACCTTACCTTGTGCACTGGCCTTTTCTGCCATAGGGTTTGCCATGGCTTGTATCCCGACAGGAGCAATACAAATAGGTATGCTGATTTTCTCTCCATATAAGGACAATGACAAGTCCACATCAGATATTCCACACAGGATACGAGGTCTTATACGTAACCTTAAAGGAAACAGGCTCATAATTATTCTTTGACATTGGTTTCCTGATGTGATATTAGTGCCTTTTCACAGACCTCACAGAGCTCAAATTATAAATCACACAATTTGTAATAAAAGGCACAATATCAATACAGGAAACAGCAAATTTGAACTGAACACTGAGAACCCTCCAGTCCTTTATGGGCTGAGTTCACTTGAGCAACTAACACTATGTAAAAGCTTGTTTCCCTGGTTAAAAATTTAATTATCTCTGTTATGACTTTCAGAAGCACAAATGGGCTGACCCCTGATAGTAATTGTAAGCAAGTCTTAATGCAGTAGGTTGTTATTCACTTCTTGACTAATTAATTAATTAGCTTGAAATTGATTAAAAATTAATCAATTTTAAAGTCAATTAATTCATTGGTCAAGATACATTCAATTTCTTTTTCTTGGTTTAGAATTTTAAAAACTAGGTGGGTTTTTTATTTCCCTTTAATCAAATTATCTTAACGACAGGGGTTTCAATAACTTTTTCCATAAGCGCAATTTAGTCCAATGCTGTACTAGTCGGCAGTGTCCTGAAAACGGGCCGTAAGGCGAAACTAAAACACGAGAGCCTGCTCGCAAGCTAAACAGATGACGGTAAGAGGCAGGAGCGGCGGTAGACCACCGGTAACTGGCTATTAATGAAACCCTGCATAACTAATACAAAACAACGAAAAACAATACTACTCACACTGATCTAAAACACATTTTTACCAAAAAATTGATTCATCACTCGTTACGTTCATATTCAATAAAATTCCACGAATCTATAGGCCTCTCAAGTACCGTTCAAAGAAGAAAATATTTTGCAAAAACAACGGTGATACTCTCGCGTGCGTAACATTTCGAAGGCAACAACGGTCTGCACCAAAACTGAATGGGCGAAAGGCGACGTGAAACGCAATTTAATGAGGATTGCTTACAGCTACGAACTTGGAAACTTTAATGTACCATGTCGTGTTAGAAATAGAAAGCTTTTCCTTTTCCTACTTGTTGTATGCTTGACAATTTTCCTTCAACGTGAATTCCTCTTCGGCCCCTGAAGCGTAGAAATCGTAGGCGTATTGTGGCAAGACTTTCTTCGCAAGTTCCTCGAAATCACCGATACAAACTGGCTTTGCCATGTTGAAAATTTCTTAACTGATGTGCAGCTATATAATTTATAGCAACCCTGACGGGAAAAAGGCTAGTGAAACTGCACACAAGACAGTCCTTTCGGAAATAACTCGTGTCAATAACCCGTGTCAATAACCTTTGAATACACTTGACCTCATAATGGCGCGGCGATGTGTAACCGCGTAATAGTCTGGGTTCTAGTCACGCGATGCGCTCTACTTCCCTTGCCGTTCAGAAAGAAAAAAAAGAAAGTACAAAAAAAAAAAAAAAAAAAAAAACGAAAGAAAGAGAGACAGAAAGAGAGACAGAAAGACAGAAGAGAGACAGAAAGACAGAAGAAAGAAAGAAAGAAAGAAAGAAAGAAAAGCTAACTCTCACCTGTCTATTGAGACAGGGTAATTAATAGTGGCAATTACCTTGTTGTACTTTCCCACCTACGCAGCACCACAGTTTCTTTAGAAACTTAATCCCTATATTCATTTGTCTCTTGAGACATTTCACTTAATTTTATTCGACTTTATATTCGACTCACAGCCAGCTTCAGACAGCGCTTTGTTAGCGGTGCAGGTGAAATGCAAAAAACAAAAATTTATTCATATCAAGAAGGCCAGTCCCTTTACCGCTAGCCAATTAAATAACTTAGCTCGAGAGGTGTTGAAATGTGCTCTAAGATAAATTTTGCAGTTCAAACAACTTGGAACTGACACAACAGGTCTATCCGTCATGTCTACCGATTTCAAGGAACATCTCGTTTTCTTTTTCTTGTTTTCGATCTTCACCACGGCGAGCTGTTCTTCAGGTAAATATTTTCTAAGTACTTCATTTGCACCTAAATTTTCTTCAATCATTTCATTCTTTAATTGCTGCACAAGATATTTACTGTTAGTGCATAACATGGGCTATATTAAGGAAGACTTGGTTTTTTCAGCTGAGTCGATGAAATAGACTGACCATAAGAAAGAGTTCTAAAGCTGACTTTTCGAGCGTTAGCCTTTTCCAGCTAAATGTGAAAAGTTTTCATAAAATATGTTATCCCATTCGTATCAATTGCGATTAAAGGTTGGTAAGTGTCAATCACTTGTACTCTGACAATTTGGCTTTTATAGACCGATGTTTTTACTTAAGGTTCAAGTTATTATGATACAGTTCGAGTTCACAGGGAGTTCGAGTAAACCGAGTCGAGTTAGCTGATAGTGAATAACTGGAAAAATGGAGGAAATCATAAGAAAAACTTCATAACAAAGTTAATAGGGGAACTGCTTATACTTAACAACTTTATCCAACCAGACTTAATAGTTACTCCAATACTGAGTTGTAACGTCTAAATACATTATTCATTATTACCTTTTTTTTCAAATTTGTTCCTGCAATTTGTTCTCTTTCTTTCACATGGCTTTTCTTTGAAAGGACTACGATATTCCATCTTTTTTTTTTATTCTGTCATTTTCCAAGAAAAAATAGAGAAGTTGAGCAAAGGAAAAGTATGACAAACTGGTGGAGACAGAGTTTGATTTACAAAGGACAGGGAAAATTGCTTTGAGCTATGATTCTAGCTAGTCTTGCAAATCTCCCTTGCACTTCAAACTTGTGCGTGTCTCATATCTAAATGACCATTACGCTAGCAAACTATATCAGTGTTCGATTAGTTTGTGCCTTGGAGTTGTAAGTGGTAATGCTAATGCTGAAAAAAAAAATCTTCATGCTGGCTCGAGTGCAGGGGGAAACTCATCCCATGTCATGATACTAAAAGACTGATTGATTGATGGATTGATATTAATACAACGATCCATTCCTCGAACTATGTAACTATTTGTTTAAAATTGAAGGTACAACAAGCACTCTCACAGGTGGATAAACATGAACACAGTTTTGACGTCACGCTGCGTTTCGAATTATTTTTTAGAAAGTGTATAAAGATAAAAGAATAATTTTTTCCGGATTTACATAGCCTGATCTTAACACCCGGTTGGCTGAGAAACTTCGAGAAAGTTATGCAAACTCTCCGTCCCCCTCGTGTTTAGATGAGGCTATATTAACACGGAAAAAGTTCCTTATCGCTTAAGTGTAGTTTATTTTCTGAAGAAACATACGCCACTAAGGCGTGAGATTTGTTTCCGTCCTATCAGAAACAGTGGTAACGATTACATAATACAAGTTTTCATCAAATGTAATGGGACTCGAAAGATTGATTTTAACTGAATTAAGTGTTACAACTTGACAAAATTTTCATATCACTTTCATCCCAGGAATCAACAGTTTAAAGCAAAACCAGCCTCCATTTTGCACATTTAAACAACGCCAGTTTTCAGTAGACGACTTCCATTATCTGAATGTAACTCGGATCGGAATATTCACATCGTACGACGAGTGGGATTGCGCATTTAAATGTGTCAGAAATACTTTGTGCCGTTCCATAAACATTGCCGCCGCCAAAGGAGCAGATGGAAAGCTTTGGTGCGAGTTGTTGCCCTCTGATAAGTACCGAGACGCTGAAAATTACCACGAAAACATGACTTCGCATCATTTCCATGTCATAGTAAGGACTTTTTTTTTTCAACTGTCGAGAGGTTAAATTTGTTCTTAAGAAAGCATTTATTTAGCTTTTAACGCGTCCTTGGACTATTCCAACGATGAATTTTTTTTTTACCATTATTCAAGTTTCCATCATGTTTTTCCTCGCCGTGGCAAAACGGAGGAACCTGCATCTCGAATTACAACCCTTACTATTGTCGTTGTGAAAAGAGTTTCGTGGGAGACCATTGTGAAAGAGGTAATTCAAAAGTATGTCAGTTATCCCTGTTAATTCTTAAAAACCTCTGCTCAATCTAACTTCTATTGTTCTCTTGAATTGTCCCCTGTGGTCTTTGTCAACACATGTACCTCATATTTTATTTAATGTAAATTCACCATTCTCTTTAATAAAACCTAGCTATATTTTGATCAGTAAACTCCTACTTCTTTTCCGTCTTTTATAAGGGTTAAGGGTTAAGCGGTGAACGGCTTTTTAAGACATCCCTGCGTAAAGACAAAAATATTTACAAAATAAGATGAGGATGACAAGACCTGACTGAAAAATTAGGAAAAAGTTAGCATTCCCGAGGAAAAAAAGAAGTTGAAAAATTGTTTTGCGGAATGTCCGTCGCTTGAAAGCGAAACTTTCAAACGGTGTAAAACCAAACCGTGCCAAGTTGATCTACAAACCTTAGGAGAGGTCTCGATGAGCACTGATAAATAATATTACATTTAGATATGAAATGGATCAAACCAATGAGTGACACTCGTAAACTAAAGAGTAAAGAATAAAAAATTATAATTTTTAACTCGTGGATATGCGAAGAATATTCGATATGTAAATTTCGTGGCTTCAGCACGGCCTTAGGAAGTCTGGGAAGAGCATGTATCTTGTAAAATATAGGGGATCGATCATGAAAATGACGGATTGATTGGGGAGGACTCTTCTGAGGGTGACGGCTCAATAACTTTTCTTGAAATTACGGGATCAATGGCTTTTGAAAAATCTTTTTATGTCCTAATTCTATTCTGCAAAGTGTATCCGCTATGTTTACGAGTTCACCATAGTGTTACTTTTATTTCTCTCAGTTGCTAAGTCTTGTAAGATGCTATATGACTTCTACAGGTAATTTTCTTTAGTACATGTTAGTGCTGTTTGACTTTAAGATTATGTATGGAGTTTTCCAGTTCAGTAAAGATCTTGTTTGTTAGCTACTAGTTAAACTAACTCATTGGTTATATTTTGACTGCTCCAAATTGTTTTGCAAAAAATTGCTGTTAACATCATGTATTTGATCCGCGGAAATTAGGTCTGATGTAAATGAATTAGTAACCCTCCGCTTGGATTCCAAACCACCTCCGTTCTCTGTCACATGGAGGATTTTGGATGTGGAGATGGAGGATGGACACCGGTCTTGAAGATCGACGGCAATAAGGTGTCTGATTAATCGCTCCTGAAGACTGCTGGTTAAAATGAACGTTGCACTGATTGCGGAACCAGTGCAGACGAGTATAAAGTTTTAGCATTTCAACCACTGTGCCTTCAAGATTCGCAGTCAATAGATAAAATATAAAACGACTTTCTAATTAACGAGGACATTTTAAAAAATTGTTTCGCATCGAAAGGAGTCGCACACCATAACTTCTTACTTTGCGTTCTAGACAACTGCTCAAATAATGTATACAAATTAAATCGCCAAAACGTAAAAATGTTCCCAGAATGTTAGCAGAATTTTAAAAACAATATTTTCTTTCGTAAACAGAGAACCTTCCATTTTAACAGCCCTTACTGGAGAAATAAGATTGATCTGCCTCGGTATGAAGATTGGACAACAGCTCAGGTTCATTGTGATCAACAAGCAGGCCGACTCTTTGTACTCGCTGATCGCTAATGGGAAACCCCGCAGAACCTTGTTGAGCCGTGACACGTGGAAGAAGCTGATTGGGTCACAGGCCTCTTTGCAGCTCGACTGTGTCAAGGACGGTTTTAATGCCATATCTGCCAAAAAGAAGTGGGCGAAAGCAAGAATCGGTATCGTTGGTAACAATAAAGGCAGGTGGTATTGCAGCAGTCATAATTCAAGAATAGGGTTTGGTACTGGAGGGAATCCCGATGACTCAAACACCTGCGGCAACGAGGCATCTAATGAGAAACCAGATAACGGACCCCGACATATCAAAGCTTTCGGATACATCTTGGTGCAGTAGATTTTATTTGATAAACATTTCAATTGAATATTTAAAGTTAGTATAGCTTTCTATGCTGTTATATTATTAAGTTAATTTTTTTTTCAGTTTACAGAATGTGTTCGCAATCGGCTACATGAGTATTACATGACGAATCTTCAATTAGTGAGTATAGTGTTAGGCTTTATTTGCTCGGCAATTGGTTCACATGATTTACTTTTCTCTTCGCTAAATCTCGCAGTGTGACAGCAAGATTATGTCTAATATTATTATAAAATTGACTCATTTACCAGGATATGCATGTTCTCCAGCATGTGGGACTTGACTCTGTTCAAAGAGAAGAAAGCAAAATCATATGCAACAGCAAAAATGATTGAGCAAATAAAGTTAGGGCAAACAATCATACTGTATTCTTGATCACAGGACAGGAATGTGAATCGAACAGATTAGGGCTGTTAAACATCCTTCTCTCGGGTGTCCAGTAACTATAGCTGGGGACTGATTGATGGTGGTTAAAAACACTATGATTAATTTAAACCAAGTCATCTTTTTCTCCGACTGTGCGGCTTATCTCTCTCAGATCGTCGAAATTAATTTGCGCCCAATCATCAGAGCTAAGGTCGACCAGTGGAAATTGAGCACTCTGATCAATAAAAACTATTTGACATTCCACTCCTTCCGGGTCATTGTCTTAGTAAAGGGGTAAGTTTCTGAAGAAACTGTGGTGCTGCGTCGGTGAAGGAGTACAACGGAGTAATTCAGTATTATCGACTGAGTTGATAACGTAAATTGGCCACCGTAAAGAGTTTAAAAGCTGACTTTTCGAACGTTAGCCCTTCTCAGGGCGAATAGATCTCGAATAGAAGGGTTTTTCATAACTCGAGTCTACAGTAAACGTTTTCTGTGTGGCCGTGAATTTTTATTTTGTTTGTTTTTTAATCAACAAAATGTACTTCATCGGTACGGTTGGGCTCTTTTAATCAATGGAGACTTATGTTTTACTTGCTATGATAATAAGAAAACGTATCATTTTTAAGAGCTTATTATTATGTTTTGGTTGGTTTGGACGAGAGTATCACATTTCTATCGCCAAAATTCTCCGCGTGAATTGTTCGGAAAACTGAGTATAGCAGTGAAGGGATGTACTTTGGCCAGAGGTTGAACAGGCCAACGGCTTTCTATAGGAATCAAACAAGTACTGCTATAGAATACAAAGGAACTGATTCACGTATAGGCGATATCTTTTGTTACGTTCCGATTATTCCAGTAGTAAACATAACTGAGGGATTTTACTCATGTTGAAAAATTGAGATTTAGAGACACCAGTACCGCATTGTTAGAAAATTAAAGAAATCTTAGTGGGGAGATTCGCATGGCGATCCATACATTGGAAGGATAATAAAAACTTTGAGCAACTCAGTTAGTGCCTAATCAGAATTTCGATTTTTTTCTAGCAACGAAACGTATCAATGGCAATTTGGTCTCGAGAACAAATTCTTATGCAGGTATTTGCTATTCCCCATAGGATGTGGTGGTTTGATTAATTCCCAATAAAAATTTCGGTGATAAGTGTCAGGGGGAAAAAATTATGTATTTTAGCTTTAGGGCAAATTCTATATTTATTTATCGGTTTAGATCCAGTTCTGTATTTTGTTCGTTCTTTTACTCGACCGGTTGAGCGGTAAAGAATGGTGAACGAGTTGTTCTATTCAAATTGTTGATTATTCAAATTAGTTATAACCAGAAAAAGTAAATTGTTGACATATCACAAAAATATTGTATTTAGGGTTTTCGTGGGTTTCGGGATAAACATCTTAAAAATATATTCATATACTTTTACATTTGAAATATTCGGTTATTCGGGTTTTTTTCTTTTGGTAGTTAAATAAAATGTACAAAAACCACAGTGGCTTTTAGAATGGATTTTTATCGATTACTCGCTTTTACTATGCACCTGCTTGTCGGCACTTTTGTCATCTAGTATATGGGTTTTTTTTGGTAAATATAAGTGTTAATGGTCTTTCTGGAAACATTGGTTTTCATGGTAGATAGCAGCTGAGTTTATACTCGTAAATCTAATTTCTTTTTATGCAATGGTTTCCAAACCAATCTTGTATAAATAAGCAGAAACTTTTAATTGCTTTTCCGTTTTTTTATTTCCTGAGCTGCGCTACTGCAATTAGGATAGGTATTGTTTTCTATACCAGAGCTGTAAATTCGCACCTAGGTTTCCTACTTTAATGGCCTAAAGTTTATTGCATCCGTCTTTTTAATTTTGAGATTCTTTCCGTCGTAGAAACAGATGGAATATTTAAGTAGTTTTTGTTTAGCTTCAAAAACTTTTTTCCGCTCCTTTGTGTCCTTATCCAAATATTGCGATTTGTGTAACAATAGCACTTCGCACCAGTTACTTCTTAAGCAAGTACCTTGTACAGCTTTGATGATTACAAACTAGAGTATGCTAGAGGTCATGTCGCTTGTTGACCTGACCTAGAATAAAAGTACTGTGGAACCAAAGATTGTCTTATCCTTGACGTCCGTATAAGCTCGCTCGAAGCAGATCTCCGTGTACCAGGAAATCGTGACGAGTTTCCGTTCTCGCTGCCAAGTCGTCTCTACAGAGTTATTTCCCCCAGTTGTTGTTGTCCCGTTCGCGAAGATTCAGTCCTCCAGTTTGGGGCGAAAACGTATCGTCACATAAGACATGCCAATAAGATCTTTTCTGTAAAGCACAAAAATGCCACAGTGACCGATGCGCAAAACTCTCAGGCTGCAGGGTGGACTTCCTCAAAGTAAAATTACCTTAACTAGGTCACGTTGTTTTAACTTTCATTTAATTTACCTTCTTGCGACTGGGAAAGCTACCCTTAACTTGAAGAAGCCTATGAAAAAGGAGAAAATATTACACAAAGAAGAAAAAAGGTGGGCTTAGGATGAAGAACATCAACCGGGGGACAGATAGATGTTATATTATCGCCCTCTCCTTCATAAAAATAGGCTTCGTTCAGAGTGAAGTTAGACTAGCTCAGTTACAAATTAAGTCGGGACACGATACTCGGGCTGGTGGTCCTTCCGGCCGGAGCTAGTCTTGGTTTCTGTAGCATGGTTTTACTAGCAATGTTGTTTCTCCCCTTGGATGAAGTCCATCACCAGCCTTTAGCATTTCGTCCCGCCTAATGAAAGATCGCGTGTTCTCCTTGGTGGAGATAGGCAATATCAACACAATGGCTTGCTTTCAGGCGGTCAGAACCAATTCGCTTTACAAAAGTTACCAACAACAACGCAAGTCAGTAAGCCACGGTGTTTAAGAAGTGTATAATCTTTTTTGATAATGCACAAAACTGAACGGTAAATCAACAGCAGCCCGTATTTGAATAGCTTTGTGTTCGAAAAGTCTCGAGTTTTCCTTTCCCCTTCTTCAATTTAGGTTTTACAGATTTCTATCAACCTTTTAATCTTTTTTGCTTATTTGGGGAGTGAGCGGTTTTTTCTTTTGGTTCTCTTTGAAATTTTGCGTGGGAAATTGAAGCACGGCCAGCCAGAATCGATCCCCGGCTTGCGCATGCCCGACGTCTGACCGCTGTGTTTGAAATGTGAATGCAAAAGTGTCTTGGCCCCCAAATGGTTGACTCAGAGTTCGGCGAGTTAAACTCCGATTATCTGGGTAAATGGAAATGAGACTCTCATTTATCTGGAATTCCTATGTGAAGAGTGAGGGGGCAAATGTTATCCCTTAAAGTAAGAACTGACGACGAGGCTACACCCCGAGCCAAATTGTCATCGGTGTTATATTAAAGGGTTCTGAGGCGTAATAATCAAAGTAAAAAGTATATTTCATGTTGCCATACGTCTCTTTAGTAACCCCTGTGTGTAGTACAATGATTACTGGACACAAGTTTACTCTGGGATCGAGAAGATCCAATCTGCAAATTAAAGCATCGGTCGGTCGATGCACCTAGGTCACCCATAAGCGTTTGACAAGTATCACATTATTGTACAAACCTGCAAAATACAATGTTTAACATGATCGCAATTTATAGAATATTTAAAATAGTGTGCAGACTCTTATTGGTTGATAAGTGTGTTGCTAAGAGAGTATTTGAACACGATCATGACGTCACTCTTTCTGTGTTTGTCAATAGATGTCAGCTGCATCAGGCAACGTATAATATTCAGCAATTAAAAGGATTTACAGAGGTGGACGGGTAGAATTGTTTTAGTATAAAGCATACAGAAACCGAAAAACTCCTTTCGTTTCATCAATATACCGAATAATAGTTAGAAACTAAACTCCTAACCAAACTCTGCTAATCACTTCCGAACTGGTTAATCAGCGCGCACGAAAATTCCTAATCCCTAACGAAGGGGGAGGTTTTATAAAAGTAATGTGAGTTAAGTGATGCGTTGTTAGTAAGGGATACGTTGTGGGTTAGGTGGTTTTTGAATAAACAAGATTCCCATTATTTATTGGGTGTATTTCCCTATGTACTGTACAAAAGCAACATGGATCGATCAATAAACTGATCATAATTATAATGTGTTTTGGAGAGAATATTTGTCCTATGGCTTCTTATGCACTAGGCACCTGTTTCGAACGAACGCCGGAGTAATTGGCTAGAACATAATAACGAGCCCCTGTCGTCCATAGTTATATCAAACAAGATGAAAACAGGAAGTCGCCCTTATCACGCAATGGTAGCCTGTCCCTCATTCCTTATGCAGGCATCATGGCTACTGATTTCAAGCGTCATCTCATCTACCAGTTGTTCCTGATATTCACCGCTACCAGTTATTTTCCAGGTGAACATTTATCACTATTTGCATTAAGCATTTCAAGTATTTGTTCTGGAGTGAAATGGAGCACAAAGTTAAAATGGAAGACTGAGCTAAATAGATCATTGTTCAGGAAATTCATATTTTTCCATCCCGAAATTTGTTTGTTACTTCCTTTCGTAAATGAGAATTTATGAGTTGTTCTCCGACGCCATTTTCAACATCCACGCTAACTCAAGGACTTCATCAGAACCCACGATCAACGAAATTAGCCCGGACTGAAAGATATTTTCTTTATTCAAATTTGATAATTTAAAAAATGTTGATATTTGCATTGTTTCACCCCAGGAGTCATCAGTTTAGAGCAAAACTGGCCTTCTTTTCACGGAACATTTAAAGTGCATCAGTTTTCAAGGGAAGAGTTCCATTATCTGAATGTCACTCGAGTTGGAATATTCACCTACTACGACCTGTTAGATTGCATATTTGAATGTGTCAGAAATACTTTGTGCCTATCGATAAACGTGGCCGCCTTTGAAGGAGCAGATGGAAAGCTTTGGTGCGAATTGTTGTCTTCTGATAAGTACAGAAACGCCGAGAATTTCAAAGAAAACATAAGTTGGCATCATTTCTCTATAATGGTAAGGATGATTTTTCGTCTTTTTTTTTTCAATGGAAATGAAGTCAAATTTTACTCCTATAAAAGCACCTAAAAGTGAATGTATTTGTGTGACAACTCCGTTTTAATAATTTACCGGTGGTAACAATAAATAACTTTTTCTTTTATTTATTCCAGTCTCCATGTGCTTCCCATCCATGCAAAAATGGAGGAACCTGCATCCCGAATTACATGAACAATTGTTACAATTGTCTCTGTGGAGAAAGTTTCTTGGGGAACAATTGCGAGAGAGGTAACTTTAAAACGTCTTTTTTCTTTAAGTTTTTAAACTTAAATCTGTTGATTAATTGACCCTCCTGTATTTTCTCTGGCTTCAACAGCATTCACCTGCTTTCCTATTTTCTTTATTCTTGCTGTGATATGACTTTCATGTTCTATTTGAATTCTCTATATTTATTTACCCTTTAATCCCTAAGAGTGGCTGGCTTGTATTTCTCCTTGTAGCATCGCCCTTACATGTCACGAAAATAAAGGAAATTATCACCAATTTAACAAGCTCTTCAATGTCAAACAAATTCTCGTTTCCAGTACCATAGGAAATGTACTGGGAAGAGTATGGGGAAAATACATACTGATGTTAGGTTGTACAGGGTTCAATCAAGCTATGTTTTGATGATGTCTGTTTGTTTGCCTTCTTTTCGTTTTACATCGATCGATTTTATACTGTTTTTCTTTAACATTCTCGTTTTGTTTTGCTACAATTTTTCGTAATGTCTTGATGTGAATATTTTGTACTATTCGATTGTTTGCCAATTATGCCATTATGGAAAATTGGGGCCATTGAGATATCAAGATATCAATTCTTAAGAGCGCTATTTGAGATAAAAACAAAACGTTCTGTTCGATTTTCTTTATCTTGAGTCCCTTGCAAGCTATGTTTTGATGATGTCTGTTTGTTTTCCTTTCCCTCGTTTTTCATCGATTCTTACGCTGTGTTTCTTTAACATTTTCGTTTTGTTTTGCTACAATTTTTGTAATGTCTTGATCTGTATATTTCGTACCATTCAATTATTTGCTAATTATTGAAAAATTGGGGCCATTGAGATATCCATGTCACTATTCTTAGGAGCGCTATTTGAGATAAAAACAAAACGTTCTGCTCGATTTTCTTTGTCTTGAGTCCCTTGCAAGTTTGATTTCGAAAATGGAATCGACGATTGGAAGAAGACTGGTACAGCGTTTGATAATCAGCCGACATATGGCGATAATCCTACGGCTCGTAACAGAGGACCATCCAATCATCAGGGAGATTGGTGGATTGGAGGAGCAGAGCACCGACCTAACATATCCTCAGCAGCAGGATTATTGCAACCAGTAGGACCAGACGTGCCGCAGGGAACCCTTACCTCCCCAACTTTCAATGTCATTGGACAAACGATCTCATTTCTTATTGGCGGAGGTTGTGATGCAAATGTTGTTCGTGCTGAATTGATTGTTGGTGGCCAGGTGGGCAAATTTACTGACCTCAGTCATAAGCTTTGAAAGTTTTTAAAAGATGATTAGCTACTACTTTTGTAGTAGATATAGGATTGGACATTAGTATGAATATTTGACAAACCAATGACTCAATATCTCGCACATCTCACATAACTCTTCAGAATTAAATCACATGGAGAAGGTTAGGGATATTTTACTACACATTCTGGAGTAAAAGTCGGCCTGCAAACTGGTGGAGATAGTAGCCACTTCAATCCGTTCTGGATTCAAAGGAAGACGAAACATAACAGCCATGAATTATCTTCCTTCGTTATAGTTTCAATAAAAATAAGTAACTTGCACTTTTAATGTAATACGTCAGGAGCTAAGCTCAGCTTCCTTTATATAAGTTCGGACCTAATTATTTTTATTCCTTTATATGTTTTAAATGACTGCGATCTTTTTACACTTTCGTCTCCGGCGTCTTCTTGAGAGTCACAAATTATATGCTTTCCCTTTTTACAGGCTGTGAGGAATGAAACCGGCCAGTGTAATGAGACAATGACCCGAAAGGAGTGGAATGTCAAAGAGTTTATTGGTCAGAGTGCTCAACTTCGTCTGGTTGACTCAAGCTCTGATGGTTGGGCTCACATCAATTTTGACGATCTGAAAGGAGAGATAAGCTGTTCAGTCTGAGAGACTGGCAACTCGGCTTTAATCGTAGTCTTTTGATTGCCTTTGATCGATCCTCAGCTGTGGTTACTCGACACCTGAGAATAAGAGTATTAATAGCAGCTCTAATCTATTAGCTTAACCCTATACACCTCAACATTAATAAACATTTTCTGCACACTGTTGTCTACATATTTCCTGATGTGCTGACAAGGAGAACTCATTTAATAATCAAGAACTTCTCCAGTTGATGATCATGTTTTTTGGTAACAATGAAATAATATATGTAGGAATAAAAATAGCAACAACGGCGAAGACAACGACAACAGTAACAATAGTGACATGAGAATAACATCAATGATAATTGCAATAATAATATACATCGTAACACATTTCAACTAAATTTTTCCGCCTCGTTGATGGCAATCTTATCCGGTCTGAATAACACCTTTTTAGGGGCAGTTCTAGATTCCTTCTAATTTACCGAGCTTAAGGCGAAAAGAAAAAACCGTTTGATTTTTCAAGTCGCAAAAAATAATTAAATGAATGGATAAATAAACTTAGCATGCCATGACGTATCTTCTTTCAAACTTACACATTCCTATGAAAATTTCTCATTTTCTTTGCGTTCGCCTGAACCGCCAAGAGTGTTTTAGTTGGGTCGGCAATTGGTCATAAAGTCAACACAAAAATAGGTACTCCATTCTCCACTGATTGTGCATCACACTATAATATTGCAGGTCTCTTTACTAGTTATTGTGTGCCAACCTTGATATGAAAATAGAATTTTAGTAATCTCACCTGTCTCCTAGGAGATATCATTAAAATTTATTCTTGCCCAATAGTTATTAAAAGTTGTTTGTTTAGTCAACTATAATTAACGAGTCAGAGATCAAGACAAGCCCATGTCGCCAACTTTGTTCAACCACCATGAAAAAAGTCATTCGGGAGATATTTACGCAGCGAGGGCTGAGGCGATTTCACAGATAAGCTTCAAAATTCAACGGCACCGCCTCAGATTCATCTCGAAATTCGACCACATTTTCTATTGTCTACGCTTTTATTGATCATTAAATAGACGCAAAACTTAAGTGAACGTGGGACTTACAAGAGCAAATTTAAGTGTTTTGTTCTAAAAAAACATCGCTTACTGCAGAAAAAGGAAAAAAAACTCGTCATGGAAAAACGCGAAATGCACACACACAAAAAAAGATTCAGTCAAATTAAAAGAAAAGAGTAGAAAGACTTGATTTCATACTTAATATCGTATCACCGAGTTTTCATCGCCTGAAAGAAGGAAAAAAACAGCCCGTACCACAAGTCTGCCAGAGCTACATGATATTTATTTTTTATTGTTCTCCTAGCACGTCCCCTGTGGTCTTTGTCAACAGTTGTATCTCATGTTTTGTTTAATATGAACTCACTATTCTCTTTCTTAGAACCTCGCGTTATTTTGATCAGTTACTCCAACTACTTTTTCTTCATCAAGAGTTAAGCGGTGAACAGTTTTTCAAGACATCCCTGAGTAAAGACAAAGATATTTACAAAACAAGATGAGGATGACAAGACTTGACTAAAAGATTTGGAAAAAGTTTGCACTCCCGAGGAAAAAGAGAAGGTTAAGATGAAAAATTGCTTTCCAGAATGTAGGTCGCTTGAAAGCGAAACTTTCAAACGGTGGAAAACCAAACCGTGCTGAGTTGATCTACAAACCTTAGGCGAGGTTTCAATGTGCACTGATAAATAATATTACATTCACTCATGTAATGTATCAAACCAATGAGTGACACTCGTAAACTAAGTGTATGAAGAATAAAAAACTATAATTTTCAACTCGTGGATATACGAAGAATACTCGATATGTAAATTTTGGGGCTTTAATTTAGCACGGCCCTAGGAATTCTGAGAAGAGCATGCATCTTGTTAAAGATAAGGGATCGATTATGAAATATGACGGATTAATTGGGGAGGACTCTTCTAAGGGTGACGGCTCAATAATTTTCTTGAAATTACGGGATCAATGGTATTTCGAACAATCTTTTAATGTCCTAAATATATTCTGCACAATATATCCACCATGTTTACGAGTTCACCATAGTGTTACTTTTATTTCTCTCAGTTGCTAAGTCTTGTAAGGAGCTATATGACTTCTACTGGTAATTTTCTTTATAATATGTTAGTGCTATTTGACTTTAAGATTATATATGGAGTTTCCAGTTCAGAAAAGATCTTATTTGTTAGCTACTAGTTAAACTAACTCATTGGTTATACTTTGACCGCTCCAAATCGTTTTGCAAAAAATTGCAGTTAACATCATCTATTTGATCTGTGGAAATTAGGTCTGATGTAAATGAATTGGTAATCCTCCGCTTGGATTCCAAACCAGTCTCCGTTCTCTGTTACATGGGACATCTTGGATGTTGAGATGGAGGATGGACACCAATCTTGAAGATCGACGGTAAGAAGGTGTCAATCGCCCCTGAAGGCTGTTGGTCAAAATAAACGTTATCGATTGCGGAGCCAATGTAGACGGTATGAAGATTGGACAACAGCTCAGGTTCATTGTGGTCAACAAGCAGTCCGACCCTTTGTACTCACTGATCGCTGATGGGAAACCCCGCACAACCTCTTTGTGCAGTGACAGGTGGAAGAAGCTGATTGGGTCATAGGCCTCTTTGCAGCTCAACTGTGTCAAGGACGGTTTTAATGCCAAATCTGCCTAAAAGAAGTAGGCTAAAGCAAGAATCGGTATCAATCCTTATTAAAAAAGAAGTGGTATTGCAATAGATATAATTCAAGATTAGGATTTGGTACTGGAGGGCAACGCCGGAGGCATCTGATGAGAAACCAGATGACGGACCCGACATATCAAAGCTTTCGGATACATCTTGGTGTAGTAGATTTTGTTTAGTGAACATTTCAATTGAATCTATTAAGTTAGAATAGCTCTCTATGCTCTCTAAAGCCGACCACGAAAGTTATTGAGTGAGTTTTTTTGTCGGTTTGCGGAAGATTTCTTATGTGTTCGCAATCGGCTACACGAGTATTACATGAAGAATCTTCAAGAATGTCAGGCTTTATTTTCTCGGCAATTGATTCACATGATGTACTTTCATCTTTGTTAAATCTCGCAGTGTAACAGCAATATTATCTCATTGACTCATTTAACTTCAGTGTATAGACGTGAGCCGCAGCATGTGGGACATGACTCTCTTGCAAAGAGTAGAAAGCAAAATCATACGCAACAGCAAAAATGAATGGGCAAATAAAGTTAGGGCAAGCAAACTATCATACTGTATAACTGAGTCATCTTTTTCTTAGACTGTGAAGCTTATCTCTCCTCTCAGACCGTCGAAATTAATGTGACTCCAATCATCAGAGGTGAGGTCAACCAGTCGAAGTTGAGCCCTCTGTCCATTAAACTCCTTGACATTCCACCCCTTTCGGGTCATTGTCCTAATAAAGGGGGTACGTTTTTGAAGAAACTGTTCTGCTGCATCAGTGGGAGAGTATAAAAGGATAGTTTAGTATTATCAACTGAGTTGATAACGTAAATTGGCAAACGTAAAGAGTTTCAAAGCTGACGTGTAGAGCGTTAGCCCTTCCTCAGAACGAATAAATCGCGAATAAAAGAGCTTTTCGTTACTCGAGTCTTTAGTCAACGTGTTCTGTGTGACTGTGAATTTTTGTTCTGTTTGTTTTTAATCAACAAAATGTACTTCATCAGTATGGCTAGGCTCTTTTAATCAATGGAGATCTTTGTTTTACTTTCTTAATAACAAAATGTGTAATTTCTAAGGGCTTATTATCATCTTTTGGTTAGTTTTGGACGAGAGTGTCACATTTTCATGGCCGAAAATGTTCCGGGTAAATTGTTCGGAAAACTGAGTATAACAGTGAAGGGATGTACTTTTGCCAGAGGTTTAACTGGCCAACGGCTTTCTACAAGATACAAAAAGACTGTTATAGAATATAAAGGAGAATGATTTTACAAGGAATATTGTTCCTTCTCCTGGATGAAGTCCATCACCAGCCCCCAGCATTTTGTCCCGCTTAACGAAAAGAAAGTAAGTGGGAAGTACCAGCAAAGTGGCGTACTTTCAGGCGGTCAGAACCAGGTTGTTCTGCATGAGTTACACAAGCCAGTAAGCCATGGTGTTATAAACTTTTTTGATAATGCACAAAACTAAACGGTAAATCAACAGGATACACGTATTTGAATAGCTTTGTCTTCGAAAAGTCTCAAGTTTTCCTTTTCCTTTCTTCATACAATTTCCTTTTACAGATTTCTATGAAAATTTCGATCCTTTTCGCTTGTTTTGTGAGAGTGTATTGTCATGTGGTTCCCTTTGAAATTTTGCGCGGGAAATTGAAGTGCGGCCAGCCAGAATCGATCCCCTTACGCATACCCGACGTGTGACCGTTTTGTTTGCAATGTGAATGCAAAAATGGCCTGCCCCCAAACAGTTGGCTCAGAGTCCGGCGGCGAGTTAACCTCCACTGTTTCAAGATCCGTTTCTATCAACCATTCGGTAGCATACAGCGTTGTAAGACAATACAGATGTAACTCTATCTCAGTCTAGTTAGACATTGATGGTGCATGTAATCACGTACATATTGTAACATCCACTTTCGAACCCCTCGATCTTACAACCGAGATCTGGATAAATGGAAATAAGACTATCCCTCTAAGCTCTACTGCCAATTTATCTGAAATTCCTATGTGAAGAGTGAGGGAGCAAATATTATGCCTTAAAGTAAGAACTTAAGACGAGGCTGCACCCCGAGCCAACTTGTCATCAGTCTTATATAAAAGGGTTGTGAGATGAAATAATCAAACTAAAAAGTACATAAAAAGTACGGTAATACTAACCAAGGGAAAAATTTTATAAAAGTAATGTAAATTAAGTGATGTTTTGTTAGTAAGGGATACGTTGTGAGTCAGGTCGTTTTTGAATAAATAAGATTTCCGATAAATGTACTCCACTGTGTTTGGAGAGAATATTTGCCCTATATCTCTTTATGCACAAAGCAGTTGTTTCGAACGAACGCCGGAGTAGATTCAAAGAAGCGCGTTGCATCATCTACTGAAATTTTAATGTCATCCACTCCATCGTTTTTGTTTTAATGCCATTGTCTTGAGTCTGTTTAACCCTTTGACCTTCAAGAGTGACTGGCATTTATTTTCTTCTTACAATATCACCCGTGAATCACATATTAAGGTCACGAGAATAAAGGAAATGATCACCGACAAAAGAAACTTTTCATTGTTAAACAAATTCTCTTTGTCAGCACCTTAGTAAATGTATAAGGAACAGTATGGAGAATATACATACTATTTACATTAAGGATTTCAAGTATTTGTTCTGGTATAAAATGGAGCGCAAAATTAAAACGGAAGACTAAGCTAAGATTAGGACATCATTCATATTTTTCCATCCCGCAATTTGTTTGTTACTTCCTTCCGTAGATAAGACAATTTATGAGTTGTTCTCGGGCGCCTTTTTCAACGTCCTCGCTAACCCAAAGACTGCACCAGAACCCATGATCAACGAAGTTAGCCTGGATTGAAAGATATTTTCTTTATTCAAAATTTGATAATTTGAAAAAATGTTTATATTTGCATTGTTTTCACCCCAGGAGTCATCAGTTTCGAGCAAAACTGGCCTTCTTTTCGCGGAACACTTAAACCGCATCAGTTTTCAAGGGAAGAGTTCTATTATCTGAATGTCACTCGAGTTGGAATATTCACCTACTACGACCTGTTAGATTGCATATGTGAATGCGTCAAGAATACTTTGTGCCTATCGATAAACATGGCCGCCTTTGAAGGAGCAGATCGAAGGCTTTGGTGCGATTTGTTATCTTCTGATAAGTACAGAAACGCCGAGAATTTTAAAGAAAACCTAAGAAAACATAAGTTCGCATCATTTCTCTATAATGGTAAGGATGATTTTTCATCTTTTTTTTTTCAATGGAAATGAAGTCAAAATTTATCCCCATAAAAGCACCTTAAAGTGAATGTATCTGTGTGACAACTCCGTTTTAATAATTTACAGGTGGTAACAATAGCTATTTCTTTGATTTATTTCAGTCTCCATGTACTCCCTATCCATGCAAAAATGGAGGAACCTGCATCCCGAATTACAAGAAAGATTGTTATGATTGTCTCTGTGGAGAAAGTTTCTTGGGGAACAATTGCGAGAGAGGTAACTTTAAAACTTCTTTTTTCTTTTAGTTTTGAAAACTTAAATCTGTTGTTTCTTTGATCTTCCTGTATTTTCTCCGGCTTTACCAGCATTCACCTGCTTTCCTATTTTCCTTATTCTTGCTGTGATATGACTTTCATGTTCTATTTGAATTCTCTATATATATATATATATATATATATATGTATATATATGTAGCATCGCCCTTACATGTCACGAAAATAAAGGAAATTATCACCAATTTAACAAGCTCTTCAATGTCAAACAAATTCTAGTTTCCAGTACCATAGGAAATGTAAAGAGAAGAGTATGGGGAAAATACATACTGATGTTAGGTTGTACAGGGTTCAATCAAGCTATGTTTTGATTATGTCGATTTGTTTTCCATCGTTTATATACTTTACGAACTTGCATAATAGGCGTGGCGGTAAACTTTGTTCAATTTTTACTCAGTAACGCTTTGCCTCTGTGGCTGCATGAGGACACGAGTTCATTACGTTTATTGAGTGATGATAATTCAGGTCGGCAGATGATAATTAATTTTTCTTTGGGGCAGAGATTGCATCTCTTGCTTGCGCTGTTGTAGGGTGATCTTGATGCAATGATCGGAAGCGCGATGAAATGAACTGTTATTTTCTTTAAGGGTACTAGAGTATGTTGTTCCGTTGCCTGTTTCTTCGTTTATTAGTTGTAGGTGGTTCGTAATGTACAGTGTACAGTGTACAGTGTACAGGTATCCACTTTCGTAAAGTGCTTTTTGATATAGAGGGGCGGCTTGGTCGAAGGATGCTTTGTTGGATGAAGGGATGACAGTCGTTTATTGATGCCGGCGGGTATGTTCTTTGTAGTGATTGGTGGGTGGTTGCTTTCGCGGTGGACGTAATGTAGTGTGGTATTAGGCTTTGTGAAAGGCTGGTAGGTACTTTTGTTCAAGTTGAAAGTGACGTCTAGGAAGCTGATGGTCTGTTTGTTGGCTTCGATGGTGATCCGTAGTCCATTGTGATTAAAGATGCGGTATATTTCTTTTTTGATGTTTACTGTATCTCACGGTGTGGCGTTTGGAATCGCCAGTCCGACGACGGACTGATCAGGACACTGTGCTCGTTCAAGAGCTTAAGAGTATCGTACCTCTCTACCTGGTCCATGGATTGAAAAACAATAGCGTGTTCTCGGAATATGCGGGCGCTCATTCTGCGCAGTACAGGATGCGCAGTGCAAAATTGAAGAATCACCTTAATCACAAAATTGTGAGGACAAAGGTGTGGGATTTCAAAATCCGGTATCAAATTCTCGTTCTGAAATCCAAAGTTTTTATAAGTCTGTTCACGAGAGTACCGGGCAGACGTGACACATGCCATCTCGCTGATTTCTTTCAAACTTTCACAGTTTATAAGGGTCACTAAGTTATATTTAAGTTCGCAAGGCAACCAGGTGGACAATCAGACATGGTATGATGCTACTCTGGTTTAAAGATTTAATAAATTTTGAATGGCCGCAACGTCAAAGTTGTTCAAAAACCTTTTCAGATTTTAGGCCATATTTTTGCCAAACCTAAGGATCCTGTCACGAAAGAACAACGAACCGACGCTATTTATTCCATTCCGTGCAATGACTGTGATCAAACGTCAGCTTAGTAGACGTTTGAAAGAGCATCAGAAAGCGTTCTTCTTTGGCAAAAAAGAAAATTCAGCTTTGTCGGAGCGCACATGCCTAACTAATCATCTAATTGGATGGGATAATTCTGAAATTACCACCATCCTTTGTTTGGAAGCCTGGCATATCAACTCCGCCCACGCTCTTTTAACTCGTGATGATAGCGGCTTATTACCTAACGCCTATCTACACCTCGTCAGAAAAAGTGCAGCGAATTATTAATCATTTATAAGAACCTCTTGTTGCAGCGATTAGATCACTGATGAAGGCACTACTAAGAGTGTCGAAACGTTGGATCTATGAAGTGTAACTTTTCGGTTACATTCATTAAATCTTTAAACCAGAGAAACTTCAAACCATGCTTGGTCACTAAATTACTCAAGAATTCAGAGTAGTTCGGGCTCCCGGCTTATGCGTGGGGCATTAGAGCCCCCACGTCAAATCCCTGGGGTAAAAGGCTAAAATTAGCTCGAAAAATGCACTTCCAACGAATCTCTCTCACACTAACAGAATGCGATGGATTTTTATCTTATTATGTTCAAGGCAACTCGGGGCTGAGATGCTGCCGCATGAAACCTCCCAACATCCTTAGATAGCTGGCTAAGTGGCTGGATTACTTTTATCACATGATCGTACGGCTTTGCGCGCGCAATCCTATAGAAAACCATAGTAAGAGCTTTAATATCAGCAGGTCCGGAAAAAGCCGTCCTGGCCTTGCACTCACACAGCTTTGCTGCAAAAACTTAAAGGAAAAAAGGAAAATCGTTAAAAAAAAGTCGTGTTTTTCGTTGAATTATGTGTCTTTCTGGCTCTAACTCGAGAAAACAGGGTTTTCCCGCGTGCACCCGTCTATCTCGTCCTATTTAGGTTGAAACAAAATTTGCGCAATGTTCAGCACTTAGTGGTCATATAATAAAATGCTTATTGACCGAGTGTGTAAGAGCTAGACAGGAAAATATTTGATATTTCCTGTCCAGGAAAATATTTCCGTCCAGCCCTCCCACTTAGTCAATAATTACATATTTTTTCTTTTGGAACTCATGGTGTACTTCCTCATATTTTGGAAAGAGTCTTCAATTTTCACAACGGTGGATGTAGCCTCTTGTCTCGGGAAAGAAAGACATGTATCCTATAAGCAACACCACCTCTAAACTTATTGCCACTGTAGATAGAGATAAAGCTCCAATACATCAAACAGCCTAAACCACCATTATTCAAACCCTTTGAAACTAAATTGAATCCTTGGTTTGTTTTATTGTGTACATTTGGTGATGATGGTGTTTTGGCTCCTCCAAAGACTGAAAGTGCAAAAGTCCTAACAATCTCATCAAAATCATCAATATTCTTGCATTTAAAACAGCTTAACAAAATACACATAAAATGAAAAGCTAACTATCAAAAAATAGCACTGGGATTACAAAATATTGCAGAAAAAGGAGTTGTGCTTGTGGCCACGCCACTCGGTTGATCCAAAAGACCATCGTCATTACTAGATTAAAGTTTTTCTAGTAAAAATTTTCAAATAAACTCTGAGACATAGTAGAATCTAATTTTGAGTTTAGGGATAAAAAAAATCAAAATCAAATCAAAATTTACAAAAATGCTAAATCACTCAAGATGAATTCGTTCTGGAGTTAAGTTAACTACGTCACTTGTAAACATTGATTACTTCGTAAATATAATAAGCCAGAGGTGGTAAGTTTTGAGCTCGGTAAAGAAATAGAGGAAGATGTTTTTCGTCTTGTCACGAACATGGGACAAAGAAAAAAATTCTGAGTCTCTACGTGGTTCGATTCCTCATAAGGAGTCAGATTTTTTTCGTTTGTCCCACGCTTGTGGCAAGACGAAAAACATCTTCCTCTATTGACTACTTCTTCTGAAAAAGTCGGTCCCATACTCTTCTCCTTGTTTTCCAACTGAAAACACAATTTTTTGGTTTTTGTGAAAGTGTTGTTGTGATTGTTTACAATACAAGGAACTATTTTCATTGTTGTTCAAAATCAGTGGGACAAATTCATGCTCAAAATAAATTCATGCAGCATCTCATTGGCTTTGTGTAATTGAATTTTTTTTAGGGAATGTTTTATTCCTTTTTATTATAGTCTGGCCCATTATGGAAATGGTTACACTGCACTCCATACATTATACAATGTCCCTACCAATTACTTCGTGAAATGAACACCAACTTGTCATTTTTAGTTTCTGTCGGCGGATTGTGCATTTATTATCTTTGTTTTAGAGGCTACTTTGGCCCGAGTGCTGGGCCATCAAATCCCTCTCACCACCGGTCTAAGAGATACGTGCCATTCAGACTGTCATAACTGATACTTAGGAAGGGGTAGTCAAAACGTCGAATAATCCAAAGATCATAGTATTGCACAGAAAATAAAATAATGGTAACTTTTTTTTCTAATGGAAAGCCCCTTTGAAAACCATCCGATACTGTCTAACTTACTCTCTCACTAATGATGAATCACAAGGACGGATGGACATACCGTTAAATAGGCTGATGACATTTACTTGGCGTTCCTGGTTGTGCTTCAATTCGCTCGGTGATTGTTCCAACTAATCACATTTTAACTTTCTAGTTTTCCCGCGCTTAACCCGTTTTCACTGCTCATTTACTTCTCGTAATATTTTCCATTTTAGATTGGCCGACGTGATCTTGGTTTAACGACGATCGATCGCAAACCTCTCTGTTCCATTCAAGTGAAAGAAAAGATAGAAGCCTTCTGTTTCCCGTATTTCTTTTGTTCCAAGGCGATTGTTTTCGCTCTAGCTCGAAGCACTCTTTGTATTACCGTGAAACTTATACAACAGGACAACTTCGAATAAAGACTGTATTCCAGAATAACAATATACAAGACAGCTTTCACGCATTCCTTTTCATTTTCCTTTTTTGAGTTTTCATCAAGAGTTCAAAGTTCAATTCGTGGGGGGTAAGAAACATACAAAAATCCACGTGACACTCTCGGTCCAGTTTTCAACACACTGAAACCAACCTAAACTGATTTGCACCATAAACTCCAGTGTGTCCGCGGACTCATTGTAGTTGTAGAAAACAGTAATTTCTTTTGCCATCGAGTATTATCATGTTGGAGTACATGTTATGCATACTACTCTTTGTGGAAGCCACAAACAGCACTAAATACACAACTGAACAAAAGCCATTTTCCTCATCAAAGATCAGCCTCGCCTTCACTGAGAAACAGCAGCCTTGAATGACCATGCATTTTCGTAATTGTCCGTTTTATAGCCTTTTTTCTAATTACTTACGTAGCCAATATCTGTCGGTGGTATATTTTGTAATTTTACCTTTATTTTGGCTTCAAAACAAGCTAAGTGCG